CTCTAAGTTACACTTTGAATAAATATAAATATCTAATTCTACTAGGCGACTTTAATATCAGATATGAATTAGCAGGATCGCTTGAGACTCAAATTTTTAAGGACATTTTAGATTGTTTCAACATTCAATTAGCAATCAACCAACTCGAATTTTCACAAACATTAATGGCCAAACTTCTATCTCATCAATAGACTTTTTGACTACGAATATTCCATCAGATTGCTATGAAGCCTCTGTGCTAAATTATAATCTTGGGGATCATCTGGCCCATCTTCATACACTAAAAAACTTTTCTGCAGTAATAAGTAATTCGAAAATCAAAGCCCTAACTCTGCGTAAATTTTCGCTGGGACATATAGAGGATCTTTCGAATTATCTGGAAAATGGTGTTTAGACGTAACATGTCCCTATCAAAATGTCAAAGTTCGATCTAAACGACATGTACACAATCAGTGGTACACAAGTGAGTTAAAACAACTAAAGCCAGAGCTAGATGATATTTTTTACAAATTCACTACATTCAAGACTCATAACCTACATGATCTGTACAATGAAAAAAACGACAGTACAAAGCGAAAATCAGGGAGTCTAAACGGAAATACTCTTTTCATTTAATACAGTCGGCTCCAAATAAAACTAAAAAGTCGACGATCAGATGTTATCAGACAAAAGCGAAATGAGTATCGCTTTTACAGATTACTCTTCTAATGTATGCAATAAAAAATTTGATGACACTTTTGGTCAGAACATGGTGCTACCTTGTGCCCATTCAGTATCAAATCCATCAAATTTTATTTTTGTACCATATATAACGGAAAATGAAAACAATAGATTTCCTCAAGAACAAATCGAGTTGTGGCATAGACGAAATTCCTGCTCCTTCCATTGACTTGCATCATAAACTCTTCCTTGAACAGCGGAATATTCCCTAATCTATTAAAAACAGCTCTTGTTCTGCCTCTACATAAAAAGGTGATATGGAAAATATTGTAAACTATAGACCAGAACTTTCAAACTTTCAAGTTTAGTTTGCTATCTGATGCTCAGAATGGATTTAGACAAAACAGATCTGCAGAGACTGCAACCTCTGACCTTCTGAATTATGTTTATTCGCAATTAGATCAAGGCAACTATGTAGTAAGCATAATGTTTGATCTATCTAAAGCATTTGATATGCTGGATAAAAGTATCATTCTAAAAAAACTAGAATCGTTAGGTTTGAGAGGTCATATATCGAAATGGATCGAGTCTTACTTATCTAATAGAAATATAATTGTGAAGATTGATAATGTGTTATCCGATAAATTCCCTGTAAATCTGGAAGTTCCCCAGGGGTCCGTATTGGGTGCTCTAATATTTCTGCTTCTTGTAAACGACTTGCCAGTCTTCATTTCAAAGGGAAAAGTTACAATGTTTGCTGATGATGCCACGATTACTGTATCTGATGGTTCTGTAGATTCACCACACACACAAACGTCCTGGTCGTTTTTGAAGAAATGGAAGTTTGGTGCAAAAGAAACAAGTTGATCCTAAATAAAAACAAAACTACCGCAATCAACTTTCATATTAGAAAAGCCATACATTCAACTGCTAAGACAGCATTAAATTTAGAGATTGGTTTACAGTTAATGGATAGCATGGAACTCCTTGGTAGTTGGTTCGATGCAGATCTCTCCTTCAGCACACTCCTTCCACAGCATATTAAATATGACGCAGTATTTAGATAAAAAGAGCCTATTACTCGTATCACTATACTTTGCTCTCGTATACAGCTGTCTTATAACATGGGGTAGAGCCACAGGCATCACCAGAGTTTTTATGTCACAAAAACAAATAATTAGATTGTTGTTCAACCTTAGTTTTGTCGAAAGTTGCAAAAACACATTTATTCAAAATAAGCTCTTGACACTTCCATGTATTTATGTATAAAGTGTGTTAACTATGTAAAGCGAAACATCAACGATTTCAATGAACATCACACCTATAAGACCACAAATTCCATTTTGAAAGCTAATCGTTTTAGAACTACGGCATACACAAAATCACCCCAGTTTAACTACATCTCATTGTACAATACTCTACTTCGAGATCTGTGAGATATAGTGAGCTATATAGAATTTAAAAATAAGGTTTTTAAGTATTTAAGTGATACATATACTAAGTGACATATAAATCCGAACACCCAGTTTAAATGGTTTTATTTTAATAAAAGTTGGTGAATATATTTATCTTACTGTAAATAACAAGTGAAAAAATTTTCAGCTTTATCAGCTGGACATTCCGGTTTTTATACTGCTTTTTTTTAATTCACTAACGCTCTAAAAATGAATATTTCAGCAGTAAAGAATCAACGTTGGCGGATTTTGGTTCTTGACATCCTTGACGATCGGTTACGATGCCTAGAGTACGGAGACCTGTACGATTTCGTCAACTTAGTGAGTTTGATAGGGGCCGTATAGTGGGACTTCGGGAAGCTGGACTTTCTTTTCGGGCAATTGCAGTTAGAGTGCAAAGAACTGTAGACACTGTGGTTAGGTGTTGTCAGGCATGACTTCGAGAAGGCCGTACGCAAAGAGCAAGGGGCACTGGACGCCGCCGTAGAACAACAGACCGTGAAGATCGCCGCCTAAGATTATTGGCCTTAAGGGACCGTTTCTGCACTACCAGGTCCACTGCAAATGAATGGTTTGCAGAACACGGAAGACCTATTGGCATGCGAAATGTTTACCGACGAATGAAAAGTTTTGGCTTGTTTTCATACCGGCCACACTGGGTCCTCCCTTTAACTCGAGAACACCGACGTAATCGCCTTGAGTGGTGCAGACAACGGTCACTCTGGGATCAGGAATGGAACAGTATTGCCTTTAGTGACGAGTCTCGATTTTGTTTAGGCATGCACGATGGTCGTACCAGGGTTAGAAGGCGACGTGGTGAAAGGAGAAATCCACAGTTTTTTGTTGAAAGACATGTTCATCACACTGTTGGAGTTATGGTTTGGGGTGCTATAGCTTATGGTTTCAGGTCACCTTTAATCTTCATCAGAGGTAACATGAACGCGCAGCGTTATATCCACGAAATTCTAGAACCCCATCTTTTACCATATCTTGACACCCTGGCAGATCCAACTTTCCAACAAGATAATGCCCGACCACATGTTGCAAGAGTCACAATAGATTTCTTTCAACATAGTGATGTCACATTGTTACCATGGCCACCAAGATCTCCCGACTTATCCCCAATTGAGCACGTGTGGGATATGATGGGTAGGAGATTGCTCAATTTGCAACGTCCTCCTCAGACTCTAGAAGCACTTCGAGAGGAGTTGGTGGTTGCCTGGAATGAGATACCACACGAGGACATTGACCACCTGATCAGGAGCATGCCTAGGCGCGTTGGAGAATGCGTAGCACATCAGGGTGCATCCACACATTATTAAAGGTCAAAGGGCTTTAAAGCAGTGCAATCAGTTTGAAATTTTTATCATTTGCTTATTATGCTTCATTAAGTACTTATACAAAATTGTATTAAAATAAAACCATTTAAACTGGGTGTTCGGATTTATATGTCACTTAGTATATTTTTACTCTATAAATGAATTTTTAAATCTTCAAAATCTGTAAGCATTATGCATTCTATATTTTATTCTATATCTTCTATATATATTGATTAACAAGTCATTTTTCCGTAGTTTTGACCTTGACCTGCTGAATGAACTTGTATTTTACTTTTTTGTCAAGCTTTTTTAACTTGTTTTATCTATAGTGTGGTGTAACAGGCTATGTTAACTCGATTCACATTTATCGTGATATTTTATTGTACCACTTTCGTTTGACACGCCATGTGAACTTTAGTTTGGAATTTGGCTAAATATACTACTACTACTACTACTATTACTACTACTATGCGTCAAACGCGATATGTCGCTTCAGTGTGCGGACTGCAATTGAATCATGCGTAGCGCAAGCTATGCTCTGGTCCGCATCATGCCAAATCGCGTCGTGAATCCAAATGTGGCTTTGTCATGTATGTTATAGCATTGAAGTTATACAAATACTTTTAAAAACTTTTTTCGGGGAACTCCGCTGAGTTCCAGGACTTGATTAGAAATTTAGTTACAGATTAATTTTGCCAAGTGAGAAAATGCCAATTGTCAATGTCAAAAATTTCATGACATGATGAGTACTGGTTTTGCTTCTCTACGTGTAGCTATTGGAAGTGGCTATTATTGGGTAGCTATTTTTGAGCGCAATAGACGTTATTTATGATGCCTTTCAAATCTTAGTTCGTTCAGAATTAAATTAGTTATAGCAAGGGTCAAAATATTGTTTATACCCAGTATATTATTTTTCACGAGTATCCATCACATTTTGACGTCTACTGAGGTGAACAGCAAGTGACATATTTGGACTTCGCTAACAGCTTACTTGCTTACCCTGGCTATCATTTAATAATGAATTAATACTATTTTATTTTTATTAAAAAATGTGTTTCATATTTCACTTTGCACACAAAAACTCCATAACAATAAAATATGTAATAAATATTTTTTACATTATGTAGGTTTTCGTACTTGGAACTAGCTGACGTTCATTTTATGTCCGTGGCCTTGTCACTAGGTTGCTAGGCAACGAGATATTTGTATCTCTTTCTAACACACCAGCTTCTCGCGCTTCATCTCGCACACATTATGACGTCAGTGGTATTCGGTTTTCAGTGTATATAACTATTTATAAGTAGTTTTAACTGGCATTACTTTTTAAGCAGCAGTTAATTCTAGTTCTATTATTTCACGGGTCAAGTGGAAGTGGTGGAACAGCGTAAGCTAAACTTCGCCCAATAAAGACGTTTTTTTATTATTATATACTAAGTGACATATAAATCCGAACACCCAGTTTAAATGGTTTTATTTTAATAAAATTTTGTATAAGTACTTAATGAAGCATAATAAGAAAATGATAAAAATTTCAAAATGATTGCACTGCTTTAAAGCCCTTTGACCTTTAATAATGTGTGGATGCACCCTGATGTGCTACGCATTCTCCAACGCGCCTAGGCATGCTTCTGATCAGGTGGTCAATGTCCTCCTGTGGTATCTCATTCCAGGCAACCACCAACTCCTCTCGAAGTGCTTCTAGAGTCTGAGGAGGACGTTGCAAATTGAGCAATCTCCTACCCATCATATCCCACACGTGCTCAATTGGGGATAAGTCGGGAGATCTTGGTGGCCATGGTAACAATGTGACATCATTATGTTGAAAGAAGTCTATTGTGACTCTTGCAACATGTGGTCGGGCATTATCTTGTTGGAAAGTTGGATCTGCCAGGGTGTCAAGGTAGGGTAAAAGATGGGGTTCTAGAATTTCGTCGATATAACGCTGCGCGTTCATGTTACCTCTGATGAAGATTAAAAGTGACCTGGAACCATAAGCTATAGCACCCCAAACCATAACTCCAACAGTGTGATGAACATGTCTTTCAACAAAAAACTGTGGATTCCTCCTTTCACCACGTCGCCTTCTAACCCTGGCACGACCATCGTGCATGCCTAAACAAAATCGAGACTCGTCACTAAAGACAATACTGTTCCATTCCTGATCCCAGAGTGACCGTTGTCTGCACCACTCAAGGCGATTACGTCGGTGTTCTCGAGTTAAAGGGAGGACCCAGTGTGGCCGGTATGAAAAGAAGCCAAAACTTCTCATTCGTCGGTAAACACTTCGCATGCCAATAGGTCTTCCGTGTTCTGCAAACCATTCATTTGCAATGGACCTGGTAGTGGAGAAACGGTCCCTTAAGGCCAATAATCTTAGGCGGCGATCTTCACGGTCTGTTGTTCTACGGCGGCGTCCAGTGCCCCTTGCTCTTTGCGTACGGCCTTCTCGAAGCCATGCCTGACAACACCTAACCACAGTGTCTGCACTTCTTTGCACTCTAACTGCAATTGCCCGAAAAGAAAGTCCAGCTTCTCGAAGTCCCACTATACGGCCCCTATCAAACTCACTAAGTTGACGAAATCGTACAGGTCTCCGTACTCTAGGCATCGTAACCGATCGTAAAGGATGTCAAGAACCAAAATCCGCCAACGTTGATTCTTTACTGCGGCTGAAATATTCATTTTTAGAGCGTTAGTGAATTAAAAAAAAGCAGTATAAAAACCGGAATGTCCAACTGATAAGGCTGAAAATTCTTTCACTTGTTATTTACAGTAAGATAAATACATTCACCAACTTTTATTAAAATAAAACCATTTAAACTGGGTGTTCGGATTTATATGTCACTTAGTATATGTATTAGGATTTTGAACTCAAATCACAATCCTAATCAACAAAAAACAAAACCTACTACTACTACTCGTCGTTGTTTCTCAAGGCGGTCCAGAGGACCTTAGCCTTTAGGTCATAGTCATTGTAATGTCAGTGTCTGTCGTCAGTCTGTCAGGTCTGGTGGCCCAGAAACCAGACAAGTTATAGAAAACAAAACCTGAACGGTTCGCTCTTTGGTTTGTGTATTAATTTGCTTTTTGGTTTGAACGTAACTACGCGCTCATGCCTATCAGTGTACCTACCAGTGTACCTACCGCCTGTCCAAAAAAAAAGCAATAAAATTGAGAAAAAAAAATTATGGCATTCCGAATTTGACCAAATTTTTGCTTGTTGCGTTTATGTTGAATCTGAGTGTAATTAATATCGCATAATCATCAAAACCGCGAATGATATTTACATATTAGCATTAACAGTGGTGTACTATATGTTATGCTACTCTCTTCCGTTTTGGTATCAGACTACCGTCACAACACCTGATCTACATACCTCACAGGTTACTTCGCCCTGCTGAAGAGTACTCCTTGCATACTAGCAATATATTTTTCATGTTTCATACATGCACCTACCGGATTCCACGTTCAATACTATCCTGTGTGTTTTTATTTTAGACATCGAAGCATGGAGTGGGATTGGAGATACATGGCTATTGGTAGTAGTCGCTTCATCTATCGGCGTCCTGCTACTTGGTGCTCTTCTGGCCATGTTTCTACTGAAATGCAGAGAGTAAGTACTTACTTAATTCGATCGGTAGGAATATACGAGCCCCTTCCCACTTCAGTTGGCCCAACTATTGAAATATTAGTTTTTTTCTTATCAAACACAAATAATAAAAATGTAGGAGGGTTCTATAGGTTTAAAATATTAACAACGAATAATTTGATAATATATAGTAGAAAACACCAACTTTATCACTCCCTAATCAAATTTGCAGCATAAAAATAACACATGTTGCAATTACAGCATATCAACCTATTTTCATTTCAATGCAAAATAAGTCATAACGCATAGGGGGCTGTGAAAAATAGAAGCCATGACAATTGTTTTTATTAATCGCAGCTGACAGAATACGTTTAAAATAGTTTTGGGTAGTTAAGGTTTTCAAAATGGGTAGAGGAAAGGTTATTAGTGAGAAAATTCGGTTACTGATAATTAAATTTTTTAATTCTGGGAAATCAAACTCAGAAATTGCAACTTTGTTAGACTTATCGCGGTACAGTGAGAGAAATATTGTTAGAATATAAAACGTAACTGGTTCAGTTAATATTAAGCCACGATATATGAAAAAAGTAATATCACAAATGCCGACCGAAGAGCATTAAGAAGAATAATCGTGAAAAACAGGCGTGCCAATTATTTGTGCTCTGTGGAGTGACGCTGTTGGAAGGAGAATTTCGAGGTCCACAACTCATAGAAAGGTCCACAAACTGGGATTTAGCACTTGCAAGGTAAATTTTCTTATAAAAAAAAGTGAAGTAAAAACCCTAAAGTTGCACAACTTGTTTATAGGCCAAAGAAAAGCCACTATTAACTCCACTGCAAAATAAAAATCGGCTTAGATGGGCTAAAGAACATAGACAATGGACACCTCAACAATGGTTTGCAATACAATGGAGTGATGAGGCCCGATTCGAAGCTTGTGTTGGTGACAGTCGCAGTAGAATTATTCGCAAAACAAATGAAGCATTCCATGTCGACTGTCTAAAGAGAACAGTGAAATTTCCAGCATCCATTATGGTCTGGGGCAGTATGTCATCAAAAGGAGTAGGAAAACTTCATTTTATTGATGGAAATGTGGATACGAACAAATATTTGACAATTTTAGAAGAATCGCTTTTACCAGTGTTTGACATCCGGCCAAGATTTTGTGTTTCAACAAGTTGTTGCAGCGTGCCATATCTCAAAAAAGGCTATAAAATGGATGGATGAAAATAATGTAACACTTTTGAAATGGGTTTCTAGCAGTCCAGATCTGTCACCTATTGAAACTTTGTGGCACGAGATGAAAAAGGTTCTACGACAACATCCTGCTCGTACAATCGCCGAACTGAGACAAAAGCGTCAAGAAATATGGGATTTTTGCCAACACTTGGTTAACACTATGCCCCAAAGAATTTCAGCCGTAATAAAAAATAAAGGTGATATTACCCAGTGGTAATCTTTCAATTGTTGCTTTATTAACTTCGCGCATTTATTCGCACATTGTTTATTTGTTCAGATGTTCTATAAGTTATTGGTCTGTGTGATTTCAAATATTTATTTTTTACGACTAGAGTCTATCTAAAATGTTTTTGAGAAAATAAGTTGTTTTAGAAGTAAATATTTTCTCATGTTTAGTTTATAAAGGCATATTTTGGTACAACTCTTGAAGTGGGCCAACTGAAGTGGGAAGGGGCTCGTATATTTCAAATGTGTCTGAAGTGGTATCACTCACTCTTACTTTTATTTTTCTGTTCGATACAAAAGATTTTATACATGCATTTACTGGTGACCTGAATCCCGTGTGTCTGAGCTTTTCAACGAGAAGGTTTTGATCAATACAATCAAAGGCTCGACTTAGGTCGAAGAAGAGAGCCAGGGTATATCGCTCACTATCTATAGACTGATAGATATAACTTAAAAGTGTGAAGGCAGCTGTATTTGTGAATAGTCTAGCCTACACCCGTGTTGGTTTGGTGACAAAATTGAGTATTCGTTGATAAAATTGTTTAGTCTGTGGTGGAAAATTGCTTCAAATAATTTAGAAAAACAAAAGACTAGCGTTATTGCCCTATAATTACCAAGTACCTCTCGGTCTCCCTTTTTAAACACAGGAATGATGGTTGCTAGCTTCAAGCTATTCGGAAATGTTCCTGTACTGATAGACAGGTTAAATATAGGGGATAAATAAGGTAGTCAGCCACAAACTTTTTTTGTTTTTGAAGTCATTCACAACTGACAGTAATTCTGATGGAACAATATCGTTAAAGAACAATGATCTTAGATTGTTTTGTATAGGACATACATATAAAGTATCGTATGTGAATAGTAGCATATCCTCAGCAATTTTTGCAAAATAATCCCCAAAGATATTTGCGACTTTTTGAGGTTCACTGGTTATGCTATTATCCAAGATTAATTTTACTGCATCTACCTGCTTTTTCGGTTTACCTAATCTACTATTTATAATACTCCATATTTCCTTTGGTGGGTTGGAAGAAAGGTCGATTTTTCCCTGGAAGAATTCTTGTTTCTTCAGATGAAGTTTTGACGCATATACTTTTTTGCTTCCTTATATCTCTCTTTTATCTCCAGACTATTTATGTTTTTGATAACCGAAATAGGTCTTTCAAAGAATTGCTTTCAGATACAATACTGGCGTCAATCCAATAGGGGGCTACAGGGGAAAGGGGGGAACGCCACACGGACTCTGGCGAGGGAACACGTGTGCATGCAACATGCACACATTCTGGCTCCGCCTACGAGATCCGCCGGGTGGTACCTCCACGTTCTACAGTCAGAGACCGTCTACCACCTGTCAATGTCCTAATAAGTGCTGAAAATAGTGCTGCGGCTTCATTTCTAACTGGCCGATTCTCTCGATGGTGATTACGGCGAATATAAGACTCAGATCCAGTTTCTTCAAATTTTCTTATCAACTTAGCTACACGCTTATCGTTAATATTATACTTGCAATGCTCCCATTTTGGTAATACAGTTCTATTATTTCTCTCCTTTCTTCAATTGAATACGTCATTGTTTAATATTTATCACAACTTGACAATTTGAAATGAAAGGCAAAGATTTTCTTTGACGTACGATGACACTGACTGATGCTAAATGTTATTTCCTGTATCCATGATTATTATTTTTTGACGTGGATTCCATTTTTATCAGTATTAAGCTTGTCGAATTCTATTATAAGCTCAAATAGCTCCACAATGACTGAATATATAGGTATACACTTTATTATACAAAAGTTACTAAAAACTAAAAATCTAAAAATAAAAAAAGGGAATTTCCATTTAAAAATCTAAAGTGTAATGCAATATCTTATTTTTGGATCACGCTGTATTGTACGGCTATAGATAGAAAGACGTCCGCCTAGAAGTCAAAACTAACATGTTCTTCACAAAATATACCAGGAGTGTCACAAATCGGGGTGCAAGCTTTTCGTTGGACCATCCTGTATGATGGAAATTATCCATCGTAGCTGCTAGTCCCATTACCCTTTTTATTGGGATGACAGAATGAAAATTTTATGCGAGCAACCCTTAGAGGCTGTTCATAAATTAAAGGCAAACATTCAAATTGGAGCAATACGAGTAGAGCCAGAGGCACTGAGAGCTGTTATGATCTATGCTAACAAAGCGCCTAATGGAAAACAGAAGAAGCTTAAAGGATGTTGTCGTAATTTGCATAGTGCAAGAAAATTGCAAGATATGTTTTTTCAGGCTGTAAAATTCCTCAGGTGTTCCTGGGGAGACTCTTTATCATCAAGGGTAAGGTAACGGCTGAGACAATAATACCTCGATTAAGTTGTGAGACACTGTATTCAAGGAACGACTGACTAAACAAACGTATTGGAAATATGAGGATCTTAATTCCAATACTTGACTTCGAAGTTGAGTCATTTATTTTAACAGTGAGTAGATCTGATCAAAAGAAATGTTTTTTTCCTTTACCAACAAAGTTATAGCCCTTTGGAAGTTTGAGTACCGGCCTGTCTCAATAATAATATCATGTGCTCGTGTTTGGCAACAACGGATATAATGCGCCTTATCGGTTCATCGCATCGGAAACAAAATTGAACTGCCTAAGGTTAGTAGAACTGGGAAAAGCTTCCTCCCGTAGTTTGTTCCACAATCTAGACACCCTCGGGACAAAGGAGCGGTCGTATCGGCCAGTTCTGGATGTACGAAGTTTGACACGGTTAGGATGGGACGCCGAAGTCAGGCGGGTCTGTCTGGCAGGCACATCGCGCGGCGGCATCATGGAAGAGAGCTCTGAGGAGCAAAGCCCGTTGGTGTAGCGATAGAAAAGAGCTAGATCGCCGACGGCCCGCCGGTGCGAAAGAGTCCCGAGACTGTCTGTTAGAGAAGAGTCATCGATCAGTCGGACCGCCCTCCTCTGGACAGCATCGAGCATGGACAATGTAGTCGGGGCGGCAGCACCCCAAATGTGTGAGCAATACTCGAGGCTAGGCCTTATCTGGGCCTTGTATAGAGTGAGAAGGTCATGCGGAGAAAAGTACTTCTTAGCCCTACATAAATAGCCTAGCTTTTTCCCAGCAGCTGCAGCTGTTGAAGAGATGTGTTCGTGCCAGATCAGGTCCTCGGTGATCTGGACTCCGACCAGCCGAAATGAATGGCTCTTTGGTAGAACTCGACCGTCCATCGAAACTGTATGAGCGCTAGGACGCTTTTTGTTCGTCAAAGTACAGTACTGTGTTTTGGAAGCATTGAACTGTACAAGATTGTTGCGTCCCCAAGCAGTGATAGCCTCCAGGTCTCTTGTCAGAGAAGAAGTCGTCGCTAGTCTTCTTTTTTCCAGCTCAGCGGCAGAGATCGGCTTGTCAGCTGTGGATTGGGTTGATCGTGCAGGAAAGGAGGTCGTTGATATGTAAGAGAAACAGTGTTGGAGCCAAGACCGATCCCTGGGGAACACCCGCGTTGACGTTGTGGGATGAAGAGGAGAATCCGTCAATTACGACGGATATCTTGCGGCCAGAGATAAAGTCAGCCACCCATCTGCAAAGCTTTTCTGGGAGGCCGTAGGATGGAAGTTTGCTCAAGAGGGCAGCGTGCCACAGCTGATCGAACGCTTTCGTGATGTCAAGAGCAACGACATGAGCCTCACCATGAGACTGGATGAGTTTACTCCACAGTTGCGTGACGTAAGCTAGGAGGTCCCCTGTGGATCGTTGGTGCCGGAAACCGTACTGCCTGTCGCTAATCAAGCTGTGACGTTCGAGGTAGTCCAGAAGCTCGCGATTTATGCACCTCTCCATCACTTTGCTTATAACAGAAAGGAGAGCTATAGGCCTGTAGTTGTAAGGGTCGGTTTTAGATCCTTTTTTTGGGATGGGCTGTACATGAGCAAATTTCCAGTTTTCTGGGAAGGTGCCGGATTCATAAGATATCTGGAAGAGACGCGAAAGAACTGGAGCAAGCTCCGCTGCACATCTCTTCAGTACAATGGCAGGAATCAAGTCCGGACCAGAAGCTTTGTTGATGTCGAGCGACAAGAGCACTCGTCTTACGGTCTTATGCCTGAATGTTACCTCCCGCATAGTGTGGGGAACCCTTTGAATTGACGGCAATTGGGCGTTGGTGGGGACGTCCATGGTGCAAAGATCTTGGCAAGCACTTCCGCCTTGGCATTTGAGTCGAATACAATAGTTCCATCCTGACACGTAAGTGGTGGAAGGCTACTGTGTGAGAAGTTCTTTTCAATCTGCTTGGCCAGCGTCCAGAAAGACCGACTGCCATTGCGCTGCGACATTACCCTGTGCCTAACTTTTATATCATGCTGGGTTTTGGCATTGCGAACCGCTTCGTTATATTTGTTTCTGGACTCGACGTCGGCTTGTCTGTTCTCTACAGTGGGGTTTTGTAAGTAGGTTCTGTGGGCCTTGATCTTCTGCTGGCGAGCAGTGTCACACGATTTGTTGAACCAGCCGTTGGACCCTGGTTTAGGAACTTTCACTGTGTGAGGGATGTATTCCTCCATTCCGACGTGGATAATTTCGGTTATTGAAGAACAGACAGTCGACGCATCCGCGTCAGTGAAACAGACATCTCTCCAAGGAAAGCTAGAGAAGAAGTCTCTGAGCCCCTCCCAGTCGGCATGTCCGTAATGCCAAGTTTTGCGGCCTGTGCGAGTTTCTGCGGCCACAGCGGCTTCTGACCGAAACCTAACCTCCACAACACCGTGATCTGAGTTACCCAGGGGGGACAGGACGGCAGTGCTGTAAGGGGCAGGATGCGTGGTCAGAAAGAGATCCAGCAGGCTACTGGCGTGTGACGAGACGCGGGGGAAAAAAGTAGGGCTCGTCACCAGCTGGGTCAGCCCTTGAGTAAGAGCGAACGCTTCGACTGCACGACCTGCTGCATCGGTCTTATTTGAGCCCAACCAAAGCTCATTATGGGCATTGAAATCACCGAGAAGAACTACCTCTGAAGCGGGGTGATTGATGTTCAGGAAGTCGATCTGGACGGCGAGGTATTCGAGTAGGTCATCACAGTTATGGTTCGAGGGAGAGTGATAAAGGCAGCAAATAAATTTGGGTGATGTTTTGGAGTTGAGGCGAAGCCACAGAATGTCCTTCCGGTCTGATTCCAAAGAAAGATCCCTGGAGCAGGAAAGACTGCTGCGGACAAAAGCCACTACTCCCCCGTTCTTTCTCAGATTGGAGTGCACCTCGTAGTTTGGGAAGTTGAGATGGTTAATCGGTGCAGCCTCTGAGATTTTTGTCTCCGCCAAGAAAAGCACGGCGGGACGATTGGATTGCAGGTAGTGATGAACAGCATCAATGTTGCTGTTGATCCCGCAGATGTTCGAAAAACAAATTTTATCTTCGATGTTGTTCCCTCGAGCCCACCCTCCACCCGGACATTCCGAGAGTGGAGTGAGTTTACGAGAAGTGTCAGTCGGTAAGGCGTGAGTGAATAGTGGTGTCTGTTGCGTGGCTCAAACGAAATAAAAAATGGCACATGTTTATGCGGAGCGGTTTCCCAATCGAGTGCAACCAACCCCTCGTGCCTTTGTTAATGTAGTACAACGGGCTCGTGAATCAGGTGACTTAAGACCTCACAGGGGACGGCATGCCGGTGCTCCAAAACCTCACGATCAAATACAGGTCCGCACTGAAATACTTGTCGGGAGGATACTTTATAAAACAAGGTAAAATTTTTTTTTTTATTTTTTTTAATTTTTACACACATATTTTGGTTTATCTTCCTTCTACAATCATTATCTGAAAATTAATGACTCAACTTCAAAGTCACCCTGTATATGGGATTAATTAAACATAAAGATATGTAGCCGCCTTCTGGCGCACGCGACCGCCGACCGCTGCTTGCTGGAACTCTTTCTTCAGTCCCCCCTCTTCCACCTTCTTGTCCCGCGGGCAACCACGACCGCGCACTGTTGCCGCTACCACCTATTTTTCCACAACTCCACCACTCACTTAAACCTAGCCTGTCACAAGGCTTAATAAGATTCAAAAAGCAAAACTACCCCACTTCGTGGAAAAACCCATAATATAGAATGTTTAACATTTGAAAATCAATAATCACGCTTAGTCACAATTTGTACGGGTGTCCATGAAGTTGGGACTTTCCTTTACACAGTAGCAAAGAGAGACGCTCATGAACAACCTCTTCCTATCGCCTCAGGTCTCCCAGCTTTAAGGGCCCCCTGATGGTATGTAAGGCCCTTCGGTCATTAAGATCCCCAGGTGGAACTACGCTTTCCCTCTCACCGGGCCTTTGCGATGACCTTTCAGCCTGTGTGACTGGTCTTCCAGTCCTCGGAAAAGCATGCTGAGCTGGAGCACGAACATATCCCTGTCTCCGTAGGTACGCTACGTAATCCCATAGGTTCTGAGAGCGGCTCACTGCCCTCATAGCAATGCAGCAGGTCATCCTTCAGTTCCGTCGCCCACCTAAAGCGTCGTAGCATGTCACCTTGCCCTAAATCCTGTTCCGAATGGGGACCGGTGTAGAGGTTTCTCCTCCTTGTGTTCGGAACAATGGAGTGGAGGTTAAGGGTGGTAATTGGCCACTCAAGACCCTGACCGACAATTAGGTGGGAAGAAGTGAAATTCCCTCCCGGGGTATACCTATATAGGCTGCCGGCCGAGTACTCCCTGACATCGGACCCCTGCGGTGTCGCGACGCACTGGATGGCCTATTGATCTTGGTTGGCTTCTTGGGGCGTTACTCTTTCAGTCGGCTCATACGACAGGCAAAGTTTACCGTGGAGCGATTCTTTTTCCGAAACCCCACACGGATAATTATTATTATTAACTATTATGATTTAAATGCAAATGTACTGCGAAGTCTGTGTTGCTTACAATATGTCTAATGCGAGGACGGTTCAATAAGTACCCGTGCTAGAAATGAAGACACCATTTTTTAAAAAAAACTGTTTTTTTTTGCAACATAATCCCCTGTTAGAAAGGTACACTTTTTCCAACGTTCTTGCCGTTTTCTTAACCCCCCAAAAAATAAGATTTGTTGAACTCTCCAAAATAAACCACTGTCTCGGCGATGACTTCTTCGTTTGAGCTAATTTTTTTCTCCGCGAACGATTTCTTCATGTCAGATCGGGTGAATACGGAGGGTACAGCAGCACTTCATAGCGCAATTCATGCAGTTTGGTGGCGACAACTTCGGATGAATGTGCTGGTGCGATATCGTGGTGGTACAGCACCTTGTTTTTCGTCAAATGTGGCCGTGTCTCCTTCAATTTTTTGTCGAAGCGGTTCAATAACTCACTATAGTATTGTCCAGTGATCGTTCTTCTGTTTTCTAAAAAATCCACGAGGAGGACGCCGTTAGCATCCCAAAAAATCGTCGCCTTCTTTGGAAAGGTACACCGGGAGAAATCCATTGTTTTGATTGTTGCTTAGTTTCAGGTGTGTAACGATGAATCCAAGTTTCATCGACAGTGACAACTCGATGCAAAAACTCCTTTGGATTTCGCTTAAATTGCTCTAAATACTGCTTCGAAGTCAACAGCCGCATCCGCTTGTTGTCAACAGTGAGCAATCGCAGCACCCATCGGGCAGACAATTTTTTCATAGCCAACTTATCATGCAAAATATTGATTGCCATTCAGGTCGACACACCTACGGCCTCTGTCACTTCGCGCACTTTCGTTCGTCGATCAGCGAGAATCATGTCGTGGACTTTTTGAATGATTTCCTCGGTAACCATGTCTGCCGGGCGTCCTGGTCGATCCTCATCAAAAACTGAGGTTCGTCCACGTTTAAATTCCTTGATCCAATATCTAACTGTGGTCGTGGATGGCGAAGTGTCCCCATAAACAGCATCCACCCTTGCTTTTATCTCCTCGCATTTTTTCCCATCCAAAAACAACAACATCAAAAGAGTGAGATATTTTTCAAAAATGGTCAAGATCCTCCGAGATGTCAAGAAACAAGGCTTGAGCGAAATTTATTTTTTTTTTTTTTAGTTTAAACCGCCACTGGACTAATTTTCAAAAACTACAAAACTTTTTCGTCCTTGGCAAATAAAAACCTTGTGTAAAAATGTTTATTATTTTATATTACTTTCCAAGTTATAGACGGACCAAGGATTAGGGGACAGACAGACAGACAGACAAATGGAAATGAGTCAAATGGTTTTTCGTGGTTTTCGAAATTTTTCGCGATTACCGTATATCCTCGCCAGTAGGAGTGGGAAGTAAAAGCAACCTTATTTTCAGAAATACGCTTCTATTGTTTACATCGAAATTCTGTCTGCTTACGCCCATTATTCCACTTTCTTTTCAGAATGAACATGTTCGGGGGCACGGACTGTTCCATTCACAGACAAATTAAGAACCATCACGAGCACCAACGGGACTGCTCCGGTACCATGACCAGTTTGAACGGCAGCAAAATGATGCACCCTGCAGACTCTGTTCTGTATCATGGGAACGCATCGCAGACAATCCAGGACAACAGGATGGTGTGGGCTACGTTGACTCCTAGGGGAACACAACACTTCATCTCGGAAAGCTATCCGCCGGACTTGATTGACTACGGCGAGCCTGAAGATCATTACGAGGCTATTGATCAGGTAGATAGATGTCTTTATTGGTGTTATTTCAACAGAATTTGAGTATAGTCTTGGCGGTTACGTCATAAACGCCATATGAAATAAGTGAACAGATCGAGTCTCCGTACCATGGGCGGACCTTAATCTTCAGCGCATCTGCTACTATCTCCAGTACGCACGAAGTGGGTAACAGGGGACCGATGTTTTCATTCTCTTCCTGGAAATACTCTAATAAATTTAGTACGAGCTGTCGGCCTTATCTCTTGATAGTATTTCCGGGCATTGTCCAATTTTATATTGAAGGTTGATAACAGGACAACTCAAACTACACGCTAATGTCAAGTAAGTTGTCATTCTGACAAATATACGTAACGACAAAGTTTTCGAGGCAGAGACACACAACTAAAAAAACGTATGTCTTTGAGCTTACCGAACAAACGTCCACTACACAGGGATAGGTTGCATGTGTATGTATGAGAGAGATGGAAGTCCCAGAAGTTGACGTCAAGCCGAAACCGGGTGATAGGCAAAGTCATAACAGCTATCAGAAAAATATTTAAAAAAATTTTATGTATGTGTTTTGAAAATTATAGGTCTTTGAAAAAAATATAGAAATTTCACACCCTACGGCAGTCTGTCAACTCCTGTTACTACAAATATTAACTTTTTTTGGATTTTATTTTTACAATGTAATGATGAATAATGCATCTTCAAACTGGTGTCTCAACCTTACTGCCAACTTTTCTCGTTCAGGAAAAATTGCCACTTATTTCCCAACCAAGTATTCTAAAGTAAAACTTTGCTCAACTTTAACTGGCTGTACTGGAAAAAAATGTACTACGAGAGTTTGGCAAGTAACCTTAAAAGTTGGCGCATTTAATAAGGATTCCAAAATGGTATAACACTTAGAAGATTACTCGTTAACTTATGCACAATTTTTATTTGAAGAAAAACTGATGAAAATTTTTCAAAATTTTCTAATTAAACAGCGATTATGAAAACGCACAAGGACCCTTAAGGATAACTGTTTGCACAACAGTGGGCGTCAAAATGCTGCTGATGATGATTTACCTTTACAGCAAATGCTCAAACTGTTTTCCTTCAGACGCAATACTCGCTCGACATCTTCTAAAAAAAGATCGGGTTATTAAACGAGCGAATCCACGGTTATTAAGAAACTCAGCTGCTTCCAATAGTCTTTGCCGCAGCTCAGCTACATTTTGAATCGGCTTGAAATACACTTTTTCTTTTACAGTTCCCCAGTAAAAAAATCTAAAGGATTCAAATCAGGTGATCGGGCTGGCCACGGTATTGTACCAGACCGACTTATCCATCTGCCTGGAAAGTTTTGATCGAGATACTCTCTCACTGAGAGTGCATAGTGCGCTGGGCAGCCATCATGCTGAAACCACATGTCCCTGTAAATACTCAGTGGCACGTCTTCCATTAAATTTTCTAAATGATTTTGCAAAAAACCTAAATAAACCTCAGCAGTCAAAGTCTCTGGGAACTCAAACGGACCGATTATTTTACCATTTAAAATTCCTGTCCAATGGTTTATCTTGAAGCGCTATTGAGATTTATCTTCTCTCATCAAATGTGGGTTTGCTACGTGCCACTCGTGTAAGTTATGCAGGTTCATGTACCCATCTTTCTTAAATGTGGTCTGATCTGACCATAAATTTTTTTCAAAGAACCGTGGATCTTCCCTGTGTCTTTCTAACATTGTGCGACAATAAACTCGGGGCTCATAATCCCGGGGCAGAAGAGCTTGAACACGCTGTACGTCGTATGGATGGAGCACGTTTTTTTGCAAGATTCTATGGGCTGTACTTTTGGGCACACCTGTTTTTAGTTCTATTGCACGCACTGAAGTACTCGGGTCTTCTTCGACAGCTCCTAGCACCACGTCTTCGTAAGGAAGGAAAGATCTTCCCTCACCGTGTGATTAGTTTGGTAGTTGGCCCTCTGAGAACAGTAAGCGGCGCACATTTGTGAACACTCGATGATCTGGATGACGAGCTGCATTCGGGTACCTCTCACAGTAAAGTCTCGCTGCAGCACTAGCATTGCGTCTGCATTCCCCAGAAATGAGGTACATGTTAGCATATTCTTGTACGGTGTACACGGACATAGCGGCACTGCACAATCACACTATCAAAGATAGTCTAAGGAAAGCAAATGTTGTTTTGAAGAGCAATTAAACAGTCCAAATCCAAATCACAAGCGATCAACAGTCCAGTTCACGAATCCATAATTAGTAACAGTACGAAATCAACAAGCACCAACATGTAAAGATGCGCAGTAAACGAAGGAGTACTGATCGGTATCAAAGTGTGCAATAGCAAGTAAGTGATGTGCTTCATCCATACCACATACAGCGTGTTCAACCTCTCCTGCCCCGGGATTATGAGCCCCGAGTTGCTTTTTGTCGCACAATGTTAGAAAGACACAGGAAAGATCCAAAGTTCTTTGAAAAAATTTTATGGTCGGATGAGACCACATTTAAGAAAGATGGGTACATGAACCTGCATAACTTACACGAGTGGCACGTAGCAAACCCACATTTGATGAGAGAAGATAAATCTCAATATCGCTTCAAGATAAACCATTGGACAGGAATTTTAAATGGTAAAATAATCGGTCCGTTTGAGTTCCCAGAGACTTTGACTGCTGAAGTTTATTTGGATTTTTTGAAAAATCATGTACATAATTTATTGGTGGACGTGCCACTGAGTATTTACAGGGCACTCTCAGTGAGAGAGTATCTCGATCAAAACTTTCCAGGCAGATGGATAAGGCGGTCTGGTACAATACCGTGGCTAGCCCGATCACCTAATTTGAATCCTTTAGATTTTTTTACTGGGGAACTGTAAAAGAAAAAGTGTATTTCAAGCCGATTCAAAATGTAGCTGAGCTACGGCAAAGACTATTGAAAGCAGCTGAGTTTGTTAATAATCGTGGATTCGCTCGTTTAATAACCCGATCTTTTTTTAGAAGATGTCGAGCGAGTATTGCGTCTGAAGGAAAACAGTTTGAGCATTTGCTGTAAAGGTAAATCATCATCAGCAGCATTTTGACGCCCACTGTTGTGCAAACAGTTATCCTTAAGGGTCCTTGTGCGTTTTCATAATCGCTGTTTAATTAGGAAATTTTGAAAAATTTTCATCAGTTTTTTTCAAATAAAAATTGTGCATAAGTTAACGAGTAATCTTCTAAGTATTATACCACTTTGGAATCGTTAATAAATGCGCCAACTTTTAAGGTTACTTGCCAAACTCTCGTAGTAGATTTTTTTACAGTGCAGCCAGTTAAAGTTGAGCAAAGTTTTACTTTGGAATACTTGGTTGGGAAATAAGTGGCAATTTTACCTGAACGAGAAAAGTTGGCAGTAAGGTTGACACCAGTTTGAAGATGCATTATTCATCATTACATTGGAAAAATAAAATCCAAAAAAAGTTAATATTTGTAGTAACAGGAGTTGACAGACTGCCGTAGGGTGTGAAATTTCTATATCTTTTTCAAAGACCTATAATTTTCAAAACACATACATAAAATTTGTTTAAATATTTTTCTGATAGCTGTTATGACTTTGCCTATCACCCGGTTTCGGCTTGACGTCGACTTCTGGGACACCCTGTATAACGGGATACTGGTAGTCTTACTTCGACCCGCCAAGAATGGTGTCGACAACTATAGAAGTGGCTAGATTTCCGTCAAGGTCATCCGTGCTTTGTACCATGATTATTCGAAAAAATGACGTTTATAAAGGATTATGTAAGGCACAAAAACAACTCCCTCCTCCCTGAGCATGACTCCTGGGGCCATCCCTGCGACCTATCTAAGCGCTTGTACGATTTTCTCACAAAGAATCTGGCAACGCTGCACAACAGCCACCCATCGCATCGGGCAAACCGCAGATACGTATACGCGTATGTTGAAAATATTCCTTTCCTTGTCAAGGGAAAATGTACGGGGAAACCGATGCAAAATATTCACCGGTTTTTTTTTTTTAATGAATAAATGTATTTCAACACTAACTAGTTATCATAAATTACAACTCAATACTTAACTAAATTACACTTTCGAATTATGTGGAGTGGCCCATTTTGCTCTACCAGACGCAACTTTCTCTCATGAGGTACTGGACGGAAGTCAGATCAATTTGTCTCAGTTTTTCGTAAATTCGTCGTCTTAAGGTGGTACGTCCATTTTTCAGATTTTTTCAACTTCCTGTTTGCAGCAGTATTCTAAATCCTTTTCATCTCATAATTTTATGGTGTTTATAGAGATGACTGAAAAACAATGTTTTCAATTTTTTTTGTCAAGAAATGCATTTTTTGTGCATTTTATTGTGCATTCTTCCTTCAATCGGAACTTGTTAACAAATATACGTACAGCTCTGAAGTTGTATGTGAATAAAATCTTTTAGGAAGAATGAAACGAGTGACTTTTTGTTCTTATCGCTTTTCCTTTTCAAAAAGTCTTTGCTTTTCTTGACAAGGATTTTATTTACAAATTACTATATTATTATATTATGTTTGTATCTAACATTGTCAGAGCATTCCTCTACGTTTTCTGTATAAAATCAGTCGTTTCCCGTCATTTTATAATTACTCAAAGAGAAATACTTTTCGTCATCTAAAACAATAATTTTTCCATTGGCAAAGCGTACCCGCCTGAGTTGACGTCAGCATGTTGGTACTATTCGTCATTGTTCGTCAGAGCGGTCCGGTGGAGTTTTGCTCTTACTTAGAAGTCTGTCAGGTCTGGCTACCCAGATACCAAACATGTTTAAGGGGAAAAGGGAAAGACGGAAAGAAAGGAAGGAAGAAATAGAGCATTGCTTTGACTACTCGAATAATTTTATAACTCCAAAAAATAATTTTGATCGGTTTTGTATACTGAAATAGTCTTGGCTGGTCTGAATTCACAATTTAATGTTGATCACAGTGCGAGGCGCAGCCTGGAATGTTTGCGAACTTGCTCGACTGTGTGGTCTACTGATTCACGCAACAGAGGGTTGCTGTGCGATTCGGCTTGATTATAACGCCGCTGTGCCTGTTGTTTTATATAGTCCCTTAGATATGGAATATAAAGGTATCTGTCAATGGTCTCATTTGACACGTACCAAGGAGCGTCAGTGATTGTGCGTAGGATTCTGTTTTGCAGGACTTGCAGTCCCTGCATGTGCGTCTTGGCAAGAAAACATCAAGCCGGGTAGGTGATTACGGGTCTTATAACCATTGTATAACCGAATCTTGTTGAACAATCTTAGTTTTGAATTTCTGCACAACAAAGGATAAAGTTGCCGAAAGGTAATTTGGAATTTCGTTTTCAAAATATCAGTATGTTTCTGCCTTGTCAATGATGAGTCCAAGGAACCTGACAGATTGTTCTCCTGGTATACGCGTTCCATTCACTGATATCTCTGAGGGGGCAACGCGACGTTTTCTAGTACAATAGATTGCTTGCGTTTTCCACACCCTGCAGCCTGTCGTGAACCGGGTTACCAGAACAAGACTGAGCTAGCAGTGCAGTGTCATTAGCATAGATATAGACTTCATAGTTGCTGAAGCAAGGGACGTCATGTATATAAAGTAAATAAAGGATTGGTCCTAAGACCGAACCCTCCGTGTTGTTGACAACACATTGTTAATTTTGATCCGAAACGGCCTTCCTTCTAGAAAAGATTTCAACAGTTTCAGAAGCCAAAATGGAAAACCGTTTTGGATGAGCTTATACAAGAGGCCCAAGTGCCACACCTTATCAAATGCTTTTGATACATCTAAAAGCAAGATACCAGTACTTTTCTTAAAGGTGAACCCCATGGTTACATGCTCCACCAGTCTAACTGCCTGTAGCTCCATACTATGCTCTGACCGAAAGCCAAATTGCACGTCAGGAATCACATGGTGATCTGACGAGAAATTCTCAAGGTGACGATAAATCACCTTTTCAGCGAGCTTAGAAGGAGCTGACAGCAGGCTAATGGGACGGTAATCCTGCGGGAATATCGAACCTGCCTTCTTTGGGATCATGATGACTTCAGCGCTCTTCCACGCCTTAGGAAAGTAATGAGTTCTGAGCATTGCATTGATTATTGCCACCAGATAAGTCAAAGCCTTGAGCGAAAGCAACTTCAGTGCTTTGTTGGGATTTGATCCTCTCCAGGTGCTTTACGCACGTTTAGGTCCTTAATGTGGCCTTGGAGCTCTGCTGGTGTGCAAGACGGAATCTCAAAGGATTCCGTTGATGTACTATGCTGAGATTCATCTGCAGAGTCTTCCGTAGAAGAATGTTTTGAAAATGAGACCCTTGTTAGCACTGACTTTGTTGTCGCCATTCACTCTGAAATATCTCCTGACAGATCTTACAATTTGTCGTTCCTCATCAAGGTCATTGTCCAGATCATAATTGGGAGAGAACTTCCTTTCCATGACGTCAGCAAAAACCTCAACTTTATCCTCAGTCCTGAAAACTATGCCTCCAGGACCATGAATATGTGATAGTTGTTCTTGCCTTCCGTTTCGAGCCTCCCCGCCAGAAATTTGCTCCACTGCTCGTTACGGAATTCATGGAGTGCATTTCTCACTTCATGGACGAGATTCGTCGCTCTACGAATGTCGTCAGGATGAAGCATGTTGGTATACGAAGGAGTTGCGCTTGAGGGTATTTGGAGAACTTAAATCTCTTTCGATATTTAAGTCCATTCCTTCTCAATTCCAGAAGCTCTGTATATTGTTAACATTTTGTTAACCTTTCAATCTGATTTTTTGCTCTCGTCACCAATCTCTCTTACCTCTGTGCAGTAAGTGCACGTGGTCTTCCATTTTTTGCAAGATTCAGACATGGTATTTCCTGCTCGCACTCCGCTATTGTCCGAAAAATATTATTCCCGCCCAACCAAGTTCTACGAGCCCCTTTATAAACTAAACATGACGAAACTATTTACTTCTAAAACAATTTATTTTCTCAAAAACATTTTCGATACACTCTAGTTGTAAAAAATACATATTTGAAATCACTTATACCTATAACTAATAGAACAAATAAACAATGTGCGAATAAATGTGCGAAGTTAACAAAGCAACAATTGAAAGATTACCATTAGGTAGCATCACCTTAATTTTTTATTACGGCTGAAATTCTTTGGGGCATAGTGTTAACCAAGTTTTGGCAAAAATTTGATGTAAAACAATCCCATATTTCTTGAAGCTTTTGTCTCGGTTCGGTGATTGTACGAGCAGGATGTTGTCGTAGAACCTTTTTTATCTCGTGCCACAAAGTTTCAATAGGTGACAGATCTGGACTGCTAGAAACCCATTTCAAAAGTGGTACATTATTTTCTTCGATCCATTTTATAGTCTTTTTTGAGGTATGGCACGCTGCACCATCTTGCTGAAACACAAAATCTTGGCCAGATGTCAAACATTCTTCCATCACTGGTAAAAGCGATTCTTCTAAAATTGACAAATATTTGTTTGTAACCACATTTCCATCAATAAAATGGAATTTTCCTACTCTTTTTGATGACATACTGCCCCAGACTGCTGGAAATTTCACTTTTCTCTTCAGACAGTCAACATGGAATGCTTCATTTTTTTTGCGAATAACTCTACTGCGACTGTCACCAACACAAACTTCGAATCGGGCCTCATCACTCCATTGTATTGCACACCATTGTTGAGGTGTCCATTGTCTATTTCTTCAACTTGTTTTTTTTTGTCAACATAATGACTATATTTGAAGAATGCTGTGACAACAAAGTCAACGTTTTATCTTTGATTTTGTTTACCTTTATTAAAATGTTATCTCTTATTTTTTGTGAAGAAAGCAGTTTCTGACAGCTGAGTAATACATGTACATATATACTTTTAGTTATTGCCCTTTCATGTACTAGTGTTGAGCATAATAAAATGCATCGAGTTAGAAGTCGTCCAAATTATCGCCATGTTAGCGAGGTCGAATTATTGCCTATCGAGATGTTGGTTTGACCTATTGCGAAATTGGCCGCGGTGTTAATCGTACTGCAATGACGGTCATTAGTGTGTGTCGTGTGTGTATAGAAAAAGGTAGAGGAGCACGAAGAAGGCCAACTGGTCCACCGAGGCGTACCACAGAGCGTCAAGATAGGCGATTCAGACAACTAGCCCTACGAAACCGTTCTGCTACTACGCGTCAGATCGCTGGCCAATGGTTTGGAGAAGAAGGTAGACCTGTTACTATGCACACACTCTGTCGCCGCATTCGATCCTTTAGACTTTTTCATACCGTCCACGGTTAGTGCTTCCCATGACTGCGGACCACTGTCGTCCGCTTTTGAACTGGAGCAGAGAACGGCAATATTAGGAGGCAGAATGGGATAATGTCATCTTCAGCGACGAATCGCGATTTTGTGTAGGAACGCACGATGATCGTAGAAGGGCGTGATATTGGATTTGCTGTTGAGAGGCATGTACACAGGACTATTGGAGTAATGGTTTTGAGGGCTTTTTCCTATGGTAGCCGATCACCTCTTTTCTTTGTGCAGAGCAATATGAGTGCTGCGCGTTATGTTGATGATGTCCTACAAACCACTCAACTGCTGTATCCAGAGTGCCGTCCGTATCTCCTGTTTCAGCAAATCAACGCACGTCCTCATATTGCTCGTCGTCCTACTGACTTTCTTCAAGAAGCAGGCGTTAATGTTTTGCCGAGGCCAACCCCGTTCACTGGATTTAAATCCCATCGAACATGTGTGGGACATGATGGGGAGGATACTATCCACTTTGCACCATCTGCCACAAACTGTGCCACAGCTAATCTACGAAGTTCGAGTTGTTTGGAATGACAGACATGGATCATCTCATTTTGTCTATACCTAGACGTATACAGCTGCAGGGTCGCCCAACACATTATTAATTTTTTTCTTATCACTCATCACATGATGATTATAGAATTTGTTTTACCTGGACTTTTAGAAGATGTTGCAGCCATGGAAGTTTTCAGTATGTGGTACATGCATGATGGGGCCCAAAACACACTTTAGTGAAGTGAAGAGCCAATTTTTAATAAAAATTATCATAATCGCTGGATTTGGAGAGCAGGCTCTCACCTATGGCCCCCTCGTTCGCCCGATACGAATCTATGAATGACTTTTTTTCTCTGGGGACACCTACAAAGCATTAATTCATGTGACATAATAAAAAATTCGCCAGGTATTTTCAGGAGAGTGCGTAATTCAATGATGAGGTTGCTAGAAGGTTGTATTGAAGCCCAAAGGGGCCATTTCCAACGCTTAAATTAGTGAAATTTGTTAGTCTAGACCAGAGTTCCCCAAACTTTTTTTTGGTCGTAGACCCCTTGCCTTGTTTTTCCGTGTTGGGTAGACCCCCTCTTACCTGATATTGATTTCCTGTAAATTTCTAACTGTAGTGACGTTTATTGTTAAAAGCTTAAAGTAAAAACACATGTTAATTTATACATTTATTAATTGAATTTAAATTAAAACTACTCAAAATAAAATTTTGTATCTGTTATGCAAAATATACGTAACATTAAATAAACAGGTGTCTGACCAATAAGTGCCCGCATTGAGAATAACTGCCGGCATTGAAAAAAAATAAGAGGGATCAAATAAAACAAAAAGTGAAAAATAATAAAAAAAAAGTTTTTTACTTAAAATAGTACAATAAGCGAGTTCGTTTATTAATTATAACATAATCGTATGTTCTACAATAATTTCACTGGTAGTTTGATTAAATTCCGCTTCTTATACGTTTACGTTATCTAAAAATAGGCCAAAAATTTACGAATTTTAGTGTGTACCTATCCTCGAATTTTCAGAATAATTTAAATAAAAAATATTTTCTATAAAGGGGGGTACTTTAAAAAAATCAATGCGGGCACTTATTCCCAGTGCGGGCATTTATTGGTCAGACACCAATAAACATAAAATAAACTATAAATAAAATAACATAAGCAATAAGTCAATATTTTTAGTGAGAAGGATGAACCTGATGCTTTAATAATAAATTATCAACATTTGGCGTCAATTTTGTAAGGGTTAATCTTAAATCTCCTTGGCTAATGATGTCCAGTCTGTTTCTTTTTTTCGTTAGGAGATTGGTAACAGCGCTGAAACCCCTTTCCACTAGGTATGACAATGGAAAGGAAATTAAAAATTTCCTCGCTATATTCCATAATACGGGATAAGTAACGGGTATGTTGTTGTGCAGCCTGAATTGCTGATATCCGTTTTTAAACTGAACCTTAAGTTCTTCGATTGTACTTAGTTCAGTCAGTTCCTCTTGTAATATGACATTCGTTTCTTCTATGTCACCATATGGATTAATTATCCACGGTGGTATTACCATAGTCGAAATATCCTCAAACCTAGATTCAAAATCTGAATAGAGGGCATTTAAATGTTGAACGTAAGTTGAAACGTCGTCTTCCTGGCAGCTTGTCTGTGACAAATTGGGGAACTGAGAACATTCGCCCCGTCCAATATTTTGCTTCATTAGTTTAACTCTGGCAAGAAACGCTGATAAGATGGACTTTGTTGTTAATCAAATTTAAACTGTCGCCTTGTAATTGCAAATTAACCATATTAAATTTTGTAAAAAAATCTGTTAAATAGGCGATTGTCTGTTTTCCTCTTCATTAAATTTTCTTTTAAAATTTTATCTTTAGTATCCAGAAATTCTAAAATAGTCTCAAAAAGTGCAAAAAATCTTGTCAAACATAAGCCTTTCGACAGCCAGCGTTCTCCAGTGTAAAGGAATAATTGATGAAAGTGTTCGTCATTTTCTTCACACAATTGTGCAAATAACCGCGTATTCAACGCGTTGCTTTGGATTCGGTTTACTGCATCAATGACTAAATGAAGTAATTCGTGCAATCTAACACTTAAATTTTTAGCGACTAAATGTTGTCGATGGATGACGCAATGTTTTCCTAACACCTAAGACGCCCGCAAACCATCATCATTTCTTTGTGACGATTGTTTGTCCGGCAATGATGGAATGAAGCCAAATTTCAAATAATGAACATCTGTACTGTCTACATTTCTGTTTAGATTCGGACATGGCATCGGTCATCTGTGGGCAAAATTAAATTATTTAAATAAGACAGAAAATCCAGCAGCTGTATATTAAAAATATTTTTTGATTTTTCCGAAAACATTCCATAATTCGAACATCTTCTTGCAACAATTAGCTCGAATTACGGAGATTGCACTGTAATTATATTACCGATTGCCAGAACTTTCAAAAACAAACTATTGAGGAGTACTCGTGTAATTTTGCATGATTGAATATTTAACTACTAATAACTAAAGTCATGATTGGCGTAATTTATCTATCTTTGCTAACTACGAGTACAAAACTAAAATTTAATAAAAAATAATGTACTTACTTTTCTCCAGCACTCTCAAAAAAAATAACACTGACTCACTATAATTTCTGTGATATACTATCTGTTTATATTTTTTAAAATATTTTCTTAGCACTTTCAGGATTCAGGAAACGAATAAACGTATTTGTCCCACATTCGTATTTGTAGAGTGACGAATTGAACAAGTCAGTGCAAGGTAGCGAAGCTCTGAGACTCTCAGGTTTCTACAAGTTCAAAATGTATTGCGACCACAAAGCGAATACCAACATCCTACAACTTACACACTTTTATAAACATATATAATAAATTTTTTACTTCATAGGTACTTTTATAAATAATGTATATATGTTTTGATATTATAAGATAGTATGATGTAAGTAAATAGGTACTATCAGTGTATGTGTTGAGATCCACTATCGTGGACCCCCATATTCATTTCATGGACCCCCAAATTTTTTTCGCTGACGTAGACCCCTTGCAGGTTGTCATAGACCCCTAGGGGTCGATATAGACCACTTTGGGAATCAATGGTCTCGACATTAATTTTATTTAGTTTTTGTTACATAATTAGTACTAAAAAATTATACAAAAATAAGTTCCAAAAGAAGCTTTTCCAGACATGCCATTAGAGGTCCAGGGATATGCAATTAAGTATTAAGTGGACCTTTTTTCTCGAAAACCGAGCAAGATACAAAAAAAAATCATGTATTTCTATTTGCTTAATCCAAAGACCATAATAAAAATTGCTACTGACGCTACTGGACTTAATAAATTTAATCAAAATTAGGGCTAAATTTGCTTCTTAATGTTACAAGTACCGCCGTCAAATTCCAACAAAATTAGGTAAACGATATTTATGATATTTACGAAAAACATTTTATTTTAATTTTAACACCCTGTATCTGGAGAACGAAGAGTTTGCGAACCTATGTTTGTACGAACTTTTTGTCTTACAATTACTCAAAGAATCGTCTGTTAAATTTTAGGTACATACTTAATTAACTTTACCTTCAATTGTTCGTGGATTCTAAAAGAACTCCGCCCTGTCTTCCCTCTTGATTTATTGGGTTTTTTAAAGCATCAAAATCGAGTCGGTGGGCACTTCACGAGAAATAACCCTTTTCTGTTTTTCTGTCCAATAGGTCGAAGCTGTGCCACCTCCTCCCAGCTATTATCAAAGTATCAAGGTTACAACTCCTAAAACACCCAAGGGAAATATAAGCTTCGAAAATTCTGGGTAAGTCATTGTATGCCTTTGTAAAGTCATTCTATGCTGCATTTTGGGTTTATTTCATTGATCGATAGATTTTCATATATACTAAATGACATAGAAAGTGCAACACATACTAGGAGTGCTGTAATTTTGGGCATAGTTTTACGCGTTTAAGGGCTACTGATAAATAGAAAGTGATTAAAATTGTAACTCGAAATTTCGCAAAATAGCTGAGATGTCCCACCTTAATGTTAATAATGTGTTAAGGCTCCTCTGTTTGCTACATAATCGTTAAGTCATCGCGGGATTGATTGGATTAGATGATTGATGTCTTCTTGGTGTATTGTATCATCTGAATTTGGTTTCGTAGAGCCTCCAATGTTTGAGAAGGGTGCGTTGAATTTTGCAATCTTTTTCCCATCACGTCTTATACATGTTTGATAGGGGAAAGGTCTGGAGATCGAGGAGGCCACTAAAGCAGACTCACTCCAGACGCTTCTAAAAAGTCTAAACTAACACGTGCGAACTGAGGTCGTGCATCACCCTGCAGAAAAAGTGGATCTTGCAATGTTTCCAAAGCGGGTAGCAGATGTGGTTGTAAAACTTCGTGGATATAGCGCATGCTACCTCGAATGAACACTGATCGTGACCTGCTGCCGTAAGAAATGGCACCCCATACCAAAACACCCACAGTGCGATGAATATGTCCTTCGATGGAATATTGCATGTTGCGTCTTTCATCACGTCTCCTCCTTTCCTCCTTACCCTTGCACGGCCATCATGTGTGCCCAAACAGAATCCGGACTCATCGCTGAACACGACTGAGTTCCATTCCATATTCCATTCAATTCTGTTCCTACTCCATACCAATCGTTGCCGATGATGCTGTGGGATCAGAGGTAGTACAAGATGGGGGCAGTATGAAAGCAGTCCAAAAGATCGTATTCCGGGATAAACTGACCTCATTGTTATTGCCCTTTTGACAGCATCAAACCACTGGTTCGCAACTGCCCTTGTTGTGAAAATCGATCTTTAAGTGATAGCTGCCTCAAATAATGATCCTGCCGCTTTATAGTCTATCTTTGACGTCCATTCCGGCTTAACGTAATGTTGATGATGACCTACAAATCACTTTACTGCCATATCTGGAGGGCCGTCCACACGTCCTTTTTCAGCAAAACAACGCACGTCCCCATATTGCTGTCGTACTACAAACTTTCTTCAAGAACCAGGCGTTAATGTTTTGCCGTGGCCACCCCCTTCACCGGACTTAAGTCCCATCGAACATGTGTGAGATATGATGAGGAGGAGACTATCCACTTTGAACTATCCGCCACAGACTCTGTCACAGCTAATCCACGAAGTTCGAGTTACTTGGAATGACGTGACACAACCAAAGATCGATCATCTGATTTTGTCGATGCCTAGACGTATACAGGACCGTTTTCAGCTGCGGGGTCGCCCATCACATTATTAATTCTCATGACTTGTCAATAATATTCTTGATGTAAGACTACCTCAATGCCAAAAAATCAAGTTGAGGAAATTATTTTTTCTGGGTGTAACACTTCTAATGTTACTGATTATTCATTTTTGGTTTTAGATTTATGGATTACGACTATGAGGACCCGGAAAACTACCAGCTAAGTCCAGAGCAATACCAACAATATGACAACATGGACATGCGTTGCTCTAGTTTGGGCTTGCGAAGACAAGTGATGATCAGTAGACCCATGGTGTCATCGCCTACCAGGATAGAACACCCGAATTTACCACCCCTAAATATGTATCCCCTCAAAGGGAATACTTTGAAGAAGAATAGTACTTTAAGCTACAGAGCGGTGGATGGTGGTACCTTGCCTAAATATGGGCTGTAATTCCGCTTATTTTTACTTAAATGATGAATTATCAGGGTTGAGGTTTGGGAATGGTCCACACCGAATTCAGGATGTCTTGAGTAAGGAGGTTGTTTTGACTTTAGGATCAGGGTAAAAGTGAATATGTAATTTGTGTACCTTTTAGCGTCCTCATAGATACTCAATTGCACAAAACGGCCACGTAATTTTTCAGTTAAACTTAGTCTACAGTTTTTGTGGTTTTGGCAAACTTTGATGGACACTGATGGCTGTACCTACAGATTATTCTTTGTCACTCAAGCATTTTTGTAACCTTTTTTGATTGTATTATCCTTTTGAGTGCTTTCATTCCGATGTTCGATGATCGAAGCAGCTTTAAACAACTGACAGAATCACAGCAATGAGAAAAGAAACGAGAGTTTGACGTTTCTGGGCTCCTTAGACTTGAAGCTCATTTTTCTCATAAGAGGAGCGCAGAAATCATGAGTGTTTTATATTATATAAATATATCTTAGCTGTCTAAAACCAACTAAACGTGGATCTCAACTGATACGATTTAAGCCAAGTAAACAACTTTAAAATGTACATATTATCATAATGACTGAATTATATGCTCATATACTAAAGCTTCTAGGATAAGAATCACACTATATCTAAGCAAATTACATCCTTTTCAAGGTTTGGGCTACCTACAAACGCAATGAGATAGCAGCTTAATCCAGTAGAAATTCCTGTACTTAATTTTAGCTTTAGTATCGCTTCGTAAATGACATTTAATGAATAAATGAATGAAACATGAAAGTCGAGGCATACCGGCCACCATAAGGAGCCAGCACATATGCCACTCAGACGGGCCCTTGTTCACTCCTACATTTTTCAGACCTCGCCATTCTAGCGAAGTTGAGTATGGTCTTGAGTCCAAGCTCCTTAACGTTCTGGGCGTCCAAAGTGATGGACCCCAGTATAGTCTGCCTGTTGTAGCTAAAAGCCTCACAGCGACACAGAACGTGCGCCGAGGTATCTTCTTCTACCCCGCAGCGCTCACACATGGGATCCTCAATCACCCTCTTAGCAGGTGGTGCTTTAACGTGTTATGGCCTAGACAACAGTCCCACCAGCAACCTTAGGTTGGCTCTATCCAAAGATAAGCAGAAACGTCCATCCTTAGCGTTGGGCCCTGGAATGAGTTCCCGTGCCTGACGTAGATGTCTGGAGATGCTTCTCAATTTTCCTCCTAACTCTTAGCGCGGGCGCACCTACGAGCTCAGGACCTACGAGCTTGCTGGCTCCTTCGCCAGAGCGTCCGCCGTCTCAATGCCCTTTATCCCAGCGTGAACCGGGATCCACACTAACGATACCGCATGCCACGCTGCTAGACAATCCAGAGCCTGCAACTCAAGGCTCGAAGTAATTTTACAGCCACTTAGTGCCTTCATTGCAGCCTGGTTGTCGGAGAAGATTGTTATTATATGTAACTCGCAACGATTTCCGCATCCACCAAGAGGCAGAGATAGCCTAGTCCTAGGCCCCGAGACCCCGACCCCTCTTGCCAGACTTGCCCACTCACTTCGGTGAGCCTCTAGCAACCGGCGTCCCACTCCTGCCTCGTTGGATACTCGACATTAAACATGCAGTTGAAGCTATACTTAGGGGTAATCACATCGCCCTTGCTCAGAAGGACGGGATCCTTCCTTTTCAGTTCTACCAGGATGGCAATATGACCCTTAACAGGATTCAAGAAGGCCCAGCTACCCTCACTCCACAGTCGGTGTGCGACTACTCACGCCTCTCCGCGGATTCCTAGATCCAACGGTGGGAGATCCAGCGGAGCTTCCACTGCCCTCAATGGCGTTGTCCGCACTGCGATTGTAATGCTGATATAGGCCAAACGCTGATTTTCGTTGAATTTGGCCTTAGTAGTCTCAGTTCCAATGCAAGGCCATCAAACCAAGCAGTCTTACAACAGAGATGGACGCACTGTTGTCGTGTAGCGCTAATGAACCACTTTGGGTTTAAACCCCTACCTAACACCAACAAGCTCACAATGAATTGCGAGCCTTTTTAACCTTAAATTCAACGTGCTCTCTCCAGTTCAGTTTACAGTCCAGGATAATTCCTAGATATCTTACTGATTGGGATAGAACTAATCTAGTCCCAAAGAAGGTCGGCGAGACAAGCCCGTCAAGTCTTCTTCTCCTAGTGAATGGGATCAGCTCGGTATTTCCAGCGTTGACAAACAGATCAACTTCCCTACACCATGATTTCACAGCGCGCAAAGCTCCCTGAATAATCTCACACTGTTTTACAAAAACGACCTCAAACTACTATGCTTACGTTATCAGCATAGACTTGCACGTAGATACCCGCACTGTTGAGCCTAACGAGGAGTTCATTCACCACGAGGCACCACAGTAAGAGTGACAGTCTCGAGCTACGTTGACGCTGCAGCTTACCTCATTCAGCATAGCTGTTAATACCCGACCATACAGAGTGGATAGAACCCAATCTACTAGGATTGATCCCCGTGCCTAACCAAGTCATGTCTGATGGAGTCGGTTGTAGTGCAACTAAATGCACCTTCGATATCCAAAAAGCCGCAAGTGTCATTTCTCGCTGATCTAGAGTCTTCTCCAGCCTGCCGACCAGATTATGTAAGGCCAGATCAGTCGGTTTCCCAGCTTGGTATACAAACTGATTGGAATGAATGCCACACTTCTCCCTCAAGAATCTGTCAACTATTCTTTCCAATGTCTTAAGCACAAAAGATGAAAGGGTAATCGAACGAAAATTCTTCGGGCCAGTGTATCTAGCTCTACCCGGTTTAGGAATAAATACCACTTTTGCCTACCGCCAGCTTCTAGGTGTGAAGCCCAAACATACACCTTCAACAGATAAGGAACAATAGAATCCCGCCCATGCTGTACACCGTCCGGACTCGGGCTTTTGTATCAAACAAACGAATCAGACAGAGATCCTAATCTTGCTCTAGTGTCTTTTCATCGCATTAAGTGTATTCTAGCTGTAGCAGGAATGCCCTTTGTGGACTGGCAGAAGTTCCTCCAGGCTTCCCTGGAAGCTCTTCTAATCTTCTTTTTGTATTCCTGCAACGCCTTCTTGTAGTCTTTCCATTGGGGATACCTTCTCCTGTGCTTAACTCTACCAAGAAGTTTGTGCTCTAACTCCTTAGACCAGAAGGTTGTCTTGACCCTACCTCGAACTTTGCGTAAAGGGCAGTTGTCCTACTACGAAGTCGTCAAGTCCCTGCTCAGAGACTGTTCGTATATCAGGGCCCCTACAAAGGCTGCATGGGACCCCTCCACGCTTACTATCAAGGTCTGGCCTAATGGACGCCCAGTTGGTATGCCTAGGATTCCGAGCATATTTATCTGGAATCTCTCAGTCAGTCTTAAACATATATCTGTGATCCGATAGAGAGGGTGTAAGAAACACTTTCCAGTCCCTAATCTCTTGAGCTAAATTGAGCGTACTCAGTGTTACGTCGAAAGTAGGCGTGTTACCGACATTCAGGATCTCAAGCTTCGATGACCCTAGAAACTCCATGAGGTCTTCGCCCCGTCTGTTGGTGTTCGAGCTGCCCCACATGACGTGGTGAGCATTGCTGTCGCATCCAATCACGAGGTCAAGTCCAGAATCCCTGCAATATGCGACAAGGTCCCCCAGTTCCTTAGACGGAGGAGGTTCCCTTGAATCGTAAGGAAAGTATGCCGAACATGCGACCAGGCCTTTGTCAGCTCCTTCCTTCTTATATCTAATTCTAACTGCAACTAAGTGACATTACTTTTGAGGGTTATATGCACCAGTGCACAATGTTAAAAAAGGAAAAAGGGTTTGAACCGTCTACACCCTTCGAAGCTTATAACGGGTACAAAAGGAATGTTTTGATATCATGTCGCTATCATAGCGATATGGCATGTACAGGGTGGCCAACTAAGAATGCGAGGTACTGTACCTATCCACCGTAGAGGCTTATGGCAAAAAAGTTTTTACTGAAACGGCCAAGATAAAGACCTTAAATTATTTCAAGTTTCTTAAATGGTCGCTAGGGAGCGTAACTGCAATCTTGAAACTAAAAAAGTGATGACTTTTTTTGTTTGACAAGTTTTGCTGCATCTCTTAAAATACAGAGGTGGGAGTATTCAAAGGTTTCCGAAAAGAATACGCTGTATGTTCGAGACATCTGAGCTAAAAGGAAAGTAACTTATGCTAATAACAAAAGCCATATTTTTTGTTTAAATGCATGTTCATGGGTATATACGAAAAAGACAATTATAGAAACAGACCATGGAATACATACAAAACAAATACCTAATCATTGGATTGGAAGAGGAAGTCTGTTTCCAGGGCCTTCGCGATCACCAGACTTGTTTTGATTTTTATTCATTTCGAGCATTTACTGGGGCATTAAAAACCCTACTTTTTTCAATCGGTCTTTTTCAGGGTCAAAACTTATAATAAAAGGAACTTCCCAAAAAAAATAGTTTAAAAAATAAAAATAAAAGGGGTTATCGTATAAATTTTCCTTTGGCCTAAATTTTAAGCCAGGAACAAGATATCGAGATGCGGTTTTCGCGAGCTTGTTTGGACATCATTTAGCTACTTTTTTTATTTAAGAAATCATACCAATGCATTTCATTTTTTTAAAGAAAATGAACCTTTTCTGTCGGAATGTCAAAAAAGCCCTCTAGCGGCCACATGTGAAACTAACAAAACCTCAAATATTGTAGCCCAAGAATAGCTCTTTGCAACTAGGCCAAGTTTGTTAGAATCGGCTCAGCCGTTTCGAAGATACAGCGAGTTCTTTACGGAAACAGCAAAAATTGTTACACAAAAAAGGTTCAAATTATCCTCGAATTTGTAGATCAGGTATTTTTTGTTAGGTAAATACAGCAGAATTTACAGAAACATCACTTTTTTATATTCAAGAAACTTGAAAATATTAACCAGGTTTTTCTCTTGGCCGTTTCACCGCAATGGATAGGTTCCCAGATACATCACCTCGCATTCTTAGCTGGCTACCATGTACATCAAATTACTTCAATGTCTGTCAGCGCGGGACACCTGATAAGCCCTAACTTCAAAAGGACACCCTTTTGCATATACACACCAATCATTATTTGATTCATATTTACATACACAGTAGACGTAGTGATACATTCATATTCGATAACAATAAAAGCACTCGAATCGCATATTATGTAGATGTGCTTACCACAAATAATAGAATGACATTTTGAACTCATTATCAGCTGAATGTGATTTCCTGTTGATTCTAACTGTTTGAGCTTCGAGAGAGGAATTACAAAATATGAAATTACACACTATAATAAATTGATATCCAGAAATGATCTCAGAGGGACCAGTTATCGCCTTAACAGATGGCGGATCATGCAGACAAAAATAGAAAAGTCGTTATCGCATTCTAATTATAGTTAATTTGCTTACACAAACAAATTTTAGTTATCAATATCTCTCTTGAAGTTCGTATACCAGAAGCTAGTTTTGGCTATGTAGTCATTTTTGTATACCTTTTAGTGATAGTTTTTATATATCAGTACCTTATTGTTGGTGTCTATTTTGTTTATTGACTCGAATAAAGTATTTGTTACACGAATAGTACTATTCAGTTATTTACAAATATATTGCGAAAACAACAAACCCGACTTAGAAGATTTTATTACAACATATATATATATATATATATATAATATATAGAAACATCACAAAACTCATTTGATCGTATTTAGTTCTGATTGACTTTATTTATTTATTTATTTTTGAAATTTCTTTATCTAAAAACAAAAATGAGTATGCCATAACCAGTGGCGTTCACAGGAAAGGTTTAATGAACGGTAAGCTTCTACGCTACTGATTGAGGGACACTTATATTACAATTAATGTTGTAACGAGGTGCCATAGTTTTCTTAATATATGTCATATAATGTTTCCAATATCGAACTTCACGGTATTTTTAGAGTAGGGGAGGCTAATATTTTATTATTTTACCTCAAATATTCGAACAGAAATATCGCCAAAACGAGTGATCTGAAAAAAATTCTCACGGTTGAAAATTTATGGCAAATTGAATAGTATTTTATAAAATGTACTTCTTTTCTCCGAAAAGGCCGGTGGGGTAGAAAATACTTCCTATTAGGAGCCCAATTACCCCAGTTTCTACGTCCCTGGGTTAGTTTGGGCCGCAAAACTCGTGTGTGTTTATTGCTTATGATGTGCTCACTGATCGTCTCAAAACTTAACTCGGTATCTTTTCCCGCTCCGTAGATATTTTTTCAATTTCGTAAATAAAACTGCATCACCCTGTATCTCGGTGGGGGGAGTATCTTTAGACCCATATTGATAGGAACTTTTTTTGTTATTTTTGGATGTACTTTTTCTACCCTAGAAATATTAGCACTTCTTTCTGAAACACACTGTATAGAGCTCAGTTTTTACGGATGAATTTTAAAAAAGAAGACTGACAGCAATTTCTCTCTGAGATATTGTGCTACATATTCCTGAAAACTGGAAATCTAGACCGAATAATTATTGTTATAGGAGGACTCCGTAGTCTGGCTGCTAATTCAAACCACAGTAGAGTCCTATCAACATGAAAGCCACATGATAAGTTTCAATATCATTTTATACTTGCCTGACATATACATACCTCTTGGCATTTCCCATTAATAAGAAGCCCGTGATAAGTTTCCTTAATACCTGGAAACATCCTGTAATTCGACAACATCGTACCGCCGGTCCGTGCCGGTGTTGCCGGACCGCAAATGACGATATCCGTAGACAGTGTCGTTGACATTCGGTAGATTCAAGGAGTGTTTGAATCAAAGATCGACCAAGAGCTACAAGCCATGATATTTCAATGTGTCGCGAGAGCTGGAAAAGTATAAATTCTGAGAAAATACTGATTTATATTGAAAAGCTGACTGAATATTTCAGAGACAAACCAACTGCCAGAATACAGATAAATTTTTTTAGATTTGACCGCCAGGAGCCATGCATCAAGCGCGATGGATGACCAGAACAATCTATTCATTAAAAGTGGCGTCACTAAGTTCTGTTAGATATCTGCCTGTTCATCGTGACAATATACGTGAATCCGTGGTTGCAATGCACTTTAGAACTAAAAGTACCTAACCAGGATTTATGCTTTTTAAAGGCAATGAAGGCTTACGAAAGAAGTGACAAAACTATTTCTAAAGCTTTACAACGGTTCAGACAATTATGGTATTTGAAAGATGAGGTCTCTGTCTTATCTCTGTTTGACGACGACGTAGATGAGGTAACTAAAGTAAACATTGTTGCTAATTCAGCCAAAGGAAGTCTATCAGCCCACGATAAACGCTACATCCTATTGAAAGAAGAACTTTCTGGCCCACTTTGTGGTAAGTCTGACGAATACATTTTCGTTTGTCTTCTTTTACTGCTTCGATATAATATGCTAACTGTTAAAAAAAGCCAGCATAAACCGATGTTATACCTCAGATAGAGGTTAGTTGCTATGCTTTCGTTAGACCTCAGGCCAAACCTAGACGTTGGTGATGGGTTACCAAAAAGCACAAAACATCCATGGTTGACTGTTTGTGGTCGGGCGGACAAAACTAGTATGTTTAGATGGTAGCTATTCTTCGTTTTTCCATTTCAGAGAAAAATATCTATGACTTTGTTTCAATCTAAAGCCTTGGTCAGTCGATTCATACTTGATGAAAGTTTTTTCGACGAGTGTAAAAATTCGTGGAAACATCCTTAATACGTTAAGAATAAGCTAAGAAAGAGCAGTCAAGTTAATGCAAGGTACATCCTGACTTCAAAAAGAAAACTTTGAAAAGAAAATTTAGTAAGTAATATTCTTTTAATGATACATATCTAGGAAATATAAGACACAAATAAACCATTGTTTTATTTGTCTAATAAGAATTAGGTTTTGAAACCCATACATGGTTTCCCTATTAACTTTCAAATTCAAAGTATCTTCCTCCTATAGCGATAATATTGACTTTATAAGTTGTTAGAGTCAACTGGAAAATGGAGGGTATGCGTATCTCAATTCGAACAAAAAATTGTTTTCCCTCACTGGCTGGGACACCCTAGCTGTACGCTTATGTGTATGATTCGTATAGGGCATACATTTACATATACATATCAGATAGATTTCATTTTCTTAACTTTATTTTTTCCAGCCATTTTTTGGTAAGAAATCCGGAAATATTTGGATTATTATAAAAAATCGTGGAAAATCAGAACGGTTTTGTTGAACGTCTGATTTCTTTAAGAATACGAAAAACCGGTAGATCGGGCAACAGTGGTCGGCGCCGGTGCCGCGTCGATCCTGGATGAATAATTACTACAGCCGCATGCCATTCGTGCTCAATCCGTTCGGAAGTGTAGATACGCGCAACGTCAGTTCAAACAGCGCCAGCACGTGCAAACGCGCGCAACGTGAGTGACCAGTGATCGCAGTGTGCTATGCGTCCAGAGTTAGGTTAGGATATGGTGGAAGAGGGCGCCGTACAGCCGCTCACCCGCAATGGGGTGTCGCGGGGCCCTAGAAGAGACGACGTGCCCGCTGATGGGGGCAGCAGGGCATGGGCCGTCATGCTCGGCTCGTTCTTCTGCAATGGGATACTCTTCGGGGTCATCAACTCCTACGGAGTGTTGTACAAGGAATTCGTTGACAATCTTCAGAAGAACAACGTCACAAATGCGTCTGGCAAAGCTGGTAAGGACCAGGAATTGTTTTGCTTCTTCCTTGTACTGTTTTTGACGGCTGTCATCAGTAGTAATCCATTGTAATTGTTATTTGGTCATTGTTGTATATAGAGTAATGGACAAAAGTATAGAGACAAATTAATATTGTGCTGTATTTCTTTTTTAACTTGTTTTATTAATACACCAACCTGTATACATAATTCGTTATAGCATAATACTCGCTTATACATAAATAAATTCATTAGACTCCCTTCAATAAAAAATTAATTGAAATAAAACTGGAAGGACAAAAATATCTATATAGACAAAGCAAAACAATTATAGAAAAAAGAAGCAAAGTTCATTGAATTATAGAATACCAACCATGTTTGTGTTAATATTTTGTAGCATAACCATTATTATCAATCACCGCCTGGCATCGTCTCGGCATAGATTGTAGAAGTTTCTTGATATAAGATTCATCAATCTGTCTCCACTTTTGCTCTAAAGCGGCAAAAAGTTCATTCTTGTTTGAATAATGTTTATCTCGTATTTGCTTATCTAAGTATTCCTATAGATTTTCAATGGGGTTTATATCGTGAGACTGTGAAGGCCATTTGAAAACTGGAAGATTGATCTTAAGGGGCATATTGTCTTCCATATAGGGTAACATGACATGCTTTAGTATGCCTGTGTAAACAAACTTATCCATAATGCCATCTCTTCTATGTAAAGGTCCCATCCAAAACACCGAAAAGCACCCCCAAACCATAACAGACCCGCCTCCATGTTTGACAGTGGGCAAAGTGTACTTGGGGTTCAATCTTTGTCCACTAGGACATCTAACGTAATGAACACCATCTGATCCAAACATATTGAACTTGGATTCGTCACTGAAACATACCCTCTTCCAGTCACAGATGCTCCAATCAAGATGCAACCGTGCAAATTGTAATCGGTCCTTACGGTTTTTCCTCGGCTTCTTACTCGGGCAACGTGCAAATAACTTCATATCATTTAATCTTCTACTTATAGTTTTCGTAGAAACACTGGAAATTCCTTTTGTCTCGATTTCGGCTTTTATTTGTCTTGGGGTTTTAAAGGGATCTTTGGACGAAATTACTTTTATTAATCTGACTGATGCATTTAGTTTTCTAGGCCGAAAACTTCTCTTAGAGGCTTCCAAGATACCTTTTTGTTTATATTTGTTCAATATTGCCCAAACTGCTTTACGCTTCAGCTTCAAATTTTTGGCAATGTCGAATTGACGTTGACCATCTTTGTATAACTCAATGATCTTAGTTTTCACATCGCAAGAAATTTCTGGACCACGCGGCATGGTCTTAAAACCACTCAACTTATTCCACAATACTTGATGAACACAAACTATATTTTTGTCCCTCGTAAAAAAGTGCTTATATTAACTTGTATTGTGTTCATTGCAGATGATGTAAAAATAAGGAATTTAGTTTTTCTACTTATAATGCATTTGTTTATGGAGCAATGAAGTATGAATTCGTTTTATAAAGTTATTTAGGTAAATATTCATATTTGTCTATATACATACTTTTGTCCATTACTGTATATCGTTTCTGCTTCGTTGCTAGGTTACTGCCGAGGAACGGTTCCTCAACATGCTTTAATATTTTAGTGGATCATACTTTACTATGCATTTATTTTTCCTTATTCCTTTATTATAAGTATCGGTTATCTAGGTGCTTCTTTATCTTCCATATGTTACGTGTCTCCAAATGCCATGGGAGCATATAAGGAGCACGTATAAAAGATTTAATGACCTCAAACATTCCAGGCCGCGCCTCGCACTGTGATCAAAATTAAATTCAGTTAAGTTCAGCCAAAATTATTTCAGTATACAAAACCGATCAAAAATATTTTTTGGAATTACAAAATAATTCGAGTAGTCAAAGCAATAATGCTCAAGCTATTTGAAACGATTTACTTCTTTTCTTTGCTCTATTTCTTCCTTCCTTTCTTTCCTTCTTTCCCTTTTCCCCTTAAACATGTTTAGTATCTGGGTAGCCAGACCTGACATACTAACAGACCGACGAGACTTTTAACTAAGAGCAAAGGTCCACCGGACCGCTCTGACGAATAATGACGCAATAGTAAGATTGGATGACCCATACGAATCATGATACTAGGGCTGCCTCGGCTGTATTCTGTTCTAATACACCTGTCAAAGCTTAAAAGGCAGCATCATGGGTCTTTGGTTCTTGCTCCATCGTACATAGTTGTTGATCGTTGTCATCTAAATAGCTGTGAAACAACATAGTGAAATGGCGCTCAACGAATTCGAGTAGATTAGAAGGATCCAAACCTATATATTTACATTGCATTGCTTGTTTTAATGCACACTTTTGGATCATTTCTCTAACTAGCAAAGTGGCAAATTTGTGTCAACATAATAATAATTGCTTTGCTTATTTTGGATGACATGGGGGTAGGGGAGTCTAGATGATGATTACATCATCGGTAGTTATTTACTTTTTGACACGAATGGCAACCCTCACATTGTCTTTGCTTGAAAACGAAACGCGTTTTCGGGGATTCCCGCAAATAATGCATACGTTTAGTGAACAGCGCGCGGTAATTCCCCTACTCGCTTTAGAACCGAGTAGGGGAATTACCGCGCGGTGTTAACTTGTCTAAATTTCCTTTATCAGTGTATTGTTTCGTATGGATATTATAGCGAGTAGACGTATTGTAAGCATAGTAAAGCAAGTTAATATTTGTGTTACCATTGATTCCATTAGCCAAAGTTTAATGTTTAAATAAGATGTCGTTTCACATACACAAATCCAAGTTATACCAAAACTTGTTTGAAAGTTTTAAAAAATCTCATACAAGTTCGAAAGTAAGAAATTTACAAAAGTTAGTTAACGAAGTGTGGTGAAATTACAAATTACAATCAAAATCCAACAAGGAACTAGATATTATTGTATCTAAGAGAATCGAAGAAGAATTGCAAGCGGCGACTAAGAATAAATCCAATCTACTAGATTTTTTTTCTAAGGTGAGTGACGAAATCATTTTAGGTACCTATGAGTACTAGAAATATTAGAAATCGCCAAAAAGTTTCTCTTTACTGATTAGAAAATATTATGGCCTATCTCAAAGTATAGAGGTAATATTCATTATATTATAGATAGATTTATTGATTCCGTCAATTGGTCACAAAGTACAGGATGTTAGTTTTATACATATATATATATATATATATATATATATATACAGGGTTATCCAAATTAAGTGTCCACCATTAGTAACTTTGTTATTAGTGAAAATACAAAGTTTTACAATTTACAAAAGTTAGTTAACGAAGTGTGGTGAAATTACAAATTACAATCAAAATCCAACAAGGAACTAGATATTATTGTATCTAAGAGAATCGAAGAAGAATTGCAAGCGGCGACTAAGAATAAATCCAATCTACTAGATTTTTTTTCTAAGGTGAGTGACGAAATCATTTTAGGTACCTATGAGTACTAGAAATATTAGAAATCGCCAAAAAGTTTCTCTTTACTGATTAGAAAATATTATGGCCTATCTCAAAGTATAGAGGTAATATTCATTATATTATAGATAGATTTATTGATTCCGTCAATTGGTCACAAAGTACAGGATGTTAGTTTTATACATATATATATATATATATATACAGGGTTATCCAAATTAAGTGTCCACCATTAGTAACTTTGTTATTAGTGAAAATACAAAGTTGTTTGAATTAGCAAACTAGTAGCATTTTTAACGCTGGTAAAAATGAGAAATAAAAAAAAACAATTGAGAGTCGTTATTTTGATTTTTTTCAGTAAAATAACATTTTTCTAAATGGAAACCCCTGTATATTATATTTTTTTCTGTTAAAGCATCAAATTTTAAACAAAAAAGCTTACAATAACTTTTCTCCTAGGTTACAAATTGTTGAAGTTATGGCCTCCAATCTGAAACAATTAAATTGTATCGACAAACTTTATTTTCAACATCAACTTATAATCTTACAAAATACAATAACAATTTTTTTTAAAGAAGATGCTCGAAAACACCACCTTGTTCTTCAATACATTTTTGGGCACGTTTTTCAACTGCTCGAACTGTCTTAAGTATGGTCCTACCATCTATCTGGGTTATCTTTTCCCTAACTGCAGTCTTTAACGCGTCAAGGTTATCGTACCTTCGCTTGTAAATTTGGTTCTTTAAGTAACCCCACAAGAAGTAATCAAGTGGGTTTAGATCTGGTGATCTGGGAGGCCACTGTATTGGGCCATTTGTTCCTATCCACTGATCATTAAAAGTAGTACTTAGAAAATGATAAGTACCTCTGGAATTGTGGGCAGGTACGCCATCTTGCTGAAAATGCAGATGATGTCTACTTATAAGGTCCAATTCGTCTAAGAAATTAGTCAGAATTTCTGACATAAATTCCACATATCTTTCACCAGTAAGGGTTCCCTCATAAAAGGACGGGCCAACAATTTTTGAACCAATTATACCGCACCAAACGTTGAAACTGAAACGGACTTGTGGGCCTCTTGGATGTACTAACAAAAGATTTTCTCTTGACCAATAATGGTGGTTTTTTCTATTAAACATTCCAGAATTTGAAAAATTTGATTCATCTGTCCATAAAAGGTAACGAAAGTTATTTACATTTTGGCGACAGAAGCTAAGATACCAATGGCAAAAAACAAGTCTTCTCTCTGGATCCCCTGCCAAAATCGTTTGAACTGGTCGGTACTTCTACGGAATAAATTTGTATTTTTTTAAAATCCTTTGAACAGTACCATAACTGAAATTAGAGTCCTTGAGAATATCTGCTATTGAATTCTCACGATAAGCTTCAAAATATCCAATAACTGCAATTTCCGTGGCCTCGCTTATTATGAATTCTTTTTTTGCCCTTGTTTTAGCAAAAACATTTTCGTTGCCCCTAAATTTTCGATAAAGTCTCAGAAAATATCGTTCATACGGTTGAATGCGAGCGGGATATAATTCACTGTTCTCAAGGAGGATTTTCTGCACACTAAATAGCATTCTAACATATCACATTTTTCTTCATGGGAGAACATTTTTCTTTAAATTAATGACACAATAAAGCTTATAAACAAGTATTTACACTAATGTTTGACATTATTTGATTTTATCATTGTTTTCCAAAGCCTTCTAGTTGCGAGTATGTCCAGTTTAACAATTTGTCGCTTATCTTAATGCTGTCAAATCGCGAACGCCATGTTGTTTTCATAGCCGTCTTAATATTATAATACTGCAAATAATTAAAAATATATTATCGTTATTTTGACTTTATTTTTGACTTTAGCGGAAAAGTCATTATGAACTTTTTTGTTTAAAATTTGATGCTTTAACAGAAAAAAATACAGGGGGTTTCCATTTAAAAAAATGTTATTTTACTGAAAAAAATCAAAATAACGACTCTCAATTGTTTTTTTTTATTTCTGATTTTTACCAGCGTTAAAAATGCTACTAGTTTGCTAATTTAAACAACTTTGTATTTTTACTAATAACAAAGTTACCAATGGTGGACACTTAATTTGGATAACCCTGTATACAGAAAACTAACACCGGAACGAATTGCTCGTTTAAACATATTAGATTTAAAGCCATAGGGTTTTGTATTTACCATATATATTGCCATACTTTGTATTTATGTAGCTTAATAAGAGAATCTTTAGCAGAAGCTATAGAAAGTTTTTATTTTTTGGCAACCTGTAAACCTGCAGAAAAAACACAAATTCTACAGTCAGCTTCAAATGTTAAAAAAGAGAAATAAAATAAAATAAAACCCGGTAATGAATCACAACAGCAATGCGAAATTAATGAAAATGCAGATAGACAGAGAGCAAAACCTTCTCAGGAAGCTATGAAAAATAAGATTGCTCTACTCGAAAAAAATCTGAATGCTTTGTATTCTGTCAGAGATACTATGCCATGCCGTGCTGAAGTTGATAAACAGATCATTAAGTTGCGCGAGGAAATAAAACCAGCAAAACAGTCTTTAAACAGGAAGGTTCATAACGCAGTTGCCCAGAAGAAACTCAGGGATGGTATGAAAAGAAAGTTAGAAGATATTTGTCATGGAAATCCAGAAATAAAAAAAAGACTATCTCTGAGGGATTCAGTGGGACGTCCTAATCTTGAAAGCAATCAACATTCACTATTGAAAACAATCGCGGATATAGCTTTATTTGGGAGTGCAGCAAATGATAGAAGACGAACGGAATCAATTCGCAGTGTAAAAACTCTTGATGAACTCACACAAGAATTCCGTAAAATAGGATTTGACATTAGTCGCAGTGGGACATATCTTCGTTTGATTCCCAGACAATTTAATTCTGCAGAGGGACGAAAACATGTATCGACAGTCCCTGTTAAGCTCATTCGGGATCAAACTGATCACCACAAGAGCCACTTAGATAGCAAGTTCGCTGAAACATCAATCCATTATTTAGAGAACATAGCAACCATACTTGGACCAAATCAAGTACTTTTCATATCTCAAGATGATAAAGCTCGAGTCCCTATTGGCGTAACTGTGGCAAATAAGCAAGCACCTCTTTTAATGCACATGGAATATAGAATCAAATTGCCTGATCACGATTGGGTAATCGCTAAGCGTAATAAATTAATACCATCTGTTTATGCTGGTATCAAAATCACTTCCAATATGCTAGGACAACCGCAAGCCGTTGGATATTCTGGACCAACATACATCGCTATTCGAAGTGGAAAGCATAGTTCATCTACTGCTAATACTCATGCTCAGGATTTCGAGACGCTTCTCGAACTTGAAGAGTTTCGACCATTAGCTAAAACTGACCATGGGCTAGTAAAACCAGTGGTAATCATGACGGTTGATGGAGGGCCAGATGAAAATCCACGTTATCAAAAAGTCATAGGGTTTGCTATACAACACTTTAAGCGACATGATCTCGATGCATGGTTTTTAGCTACCAATGCTCCTGGAAGAAGTGCGTATAACACAGTAGAGCGCAGAATGGCTCCTCTTAGTCGGGAACTGGCTGGTTTAATATTGCCTCATGACCATTTTGGGTCTCATTTGGATGAACGTGGCGTAACAATTGATGAACATTTAGACAGATCTAATTTCGAATTTGCAGTAAATGTATTAGCTGAAGTATGGAAATGGAAATTGATGGCTATAATGGTAATGCAAAATATGTTGGGGCAGGTGAACAAGACCTTCCTGATTTTCCAGACATTAAATGGTATTCAGAACATGTGCGTGAGAGCCAGTACTTGCTTCAAATTGTAAAATGTAGAAAGTTTGTTATGTTAGTAAGATATAATATTTTTGTCCTTTACTCTACGTTGAATACCGTATCAGTAAAATATAATCTCTATCCTAAATCTATTTTCTTATTTCTCAAATTATAATTATAATATAAAAAGAAACAATACATTAATTGACAAATGTTTACGTAAGCATGAGAGGAGGGGGTAAGAGTTTTGCTTACTTTAGCTGACAAGGGGGATGGGGGGGTAAATAATTGTAATAAATCTGCTTACGTAATACTTGAACGGCTCCTAAGACTGAAAGCTCTTTTTTAACCTCAATATCTCAAAAATTCAGGCATGGACGCTAACACATAAAACATTTTTAAAATCATAAGGAGAATCTCAAAATACAAAAATAAAAAGAATGTTTCATTAAAAAAATGTTTGGTCTGCTTTCACTTTTGGGCTATTCGGTATATCAAAAAAAATCATAATTTAGCTTTTCTTTCAATTTCTTATGATAAGGATCTATGGTACTCCGTCAGCGCTTTGACCCGTCCTGTACAACGAGTCTATGAGTCTTCAAACTTTTAATTTCAGTTTTCTCAAAAGTTACTTTTTGTGGCATCCATCTTTTTTCCAATTATTATAAAATGATTTAAAAATTCCGAAAATAATCCCTTCTTTCTAAAAAGTTCCTCTAAAATTTAGGTTCCGTTCCTGCACTCTCCAAGAAGTTTCGCAAATCGAAACTTATTCCGCCTATTGGCATTTTGGCCTGTTCTCTCAAACACGGGAATTAATTGTGGAGCAAGTGTTCAGAGATAGGTATCTCACGATGGGTGGCCACCTAAAATTATTGGTCAAACTGGTTCTGGGCACATCGGCTCCAACGAATGCTGTGAGAAATTGTCGCGAGCTTTACGTTGTTATGAGGAAGCTTGGCCTGGGACCAATGCGGTTGTTATACCTATAGAGAAGCAAACATGCCTGTAGAATTTGCTATACGTCCGCAGGGGTATTATGTAGGTAGTTTTTAGTGTGCAAATAGTCCATTCCGCTGACGTTTAAGCAACACGTACAGATACAAAACGAGTTCACAACAAGGTGTACAACAGCTTGTTAACATTTTGTAGAAAAACTTACGTTATGTCACAAAAAACCGCGGAATGTAAAAAAACAAAACGACGAAATATCACTTTTCAAGGTACGTAATACTCGTGCCGGAATGTTTGTGTCCCAATGCATATGCACTGAACATCCTGCCTTTTTTGACGACAACTGAACAACTAAGGTATTTAGAGTGAACAACTCAGAGATGTAACCCAATGAATGCTACCTTACATTGGCCGCAGAAAGTCACCGCTTCCTCAGAATGACCAGGGTGTTTACAAAGTTGAGTTACTTATTTTAACAACTTTTAGAACTCGCTGATATACCAAAAATCACATAAACAGGGTGACTTCGAAGTTGAGTCATTTATTTTAACAGTGAGTAGATCTGATCGAAAGAAATGTTTTTTTCCTTTACCATTTTTCTGGTAAAATTAAAGTAACAAAGTTATAGCCCTTTGGAAGTTTGAGTACCGCCCTGTCTCAATAATAATATGTGGTCGTGTTTGGCGACAACGGATATAATCCGCCTTATCGGTTCATCGCATCGGAAACAAAAAAGCGAAAGAATTTGGAACGATGTTTTTACAATTATTTTATTCAGTTGTATACGTATACAGTCAGTGTCAGTCGGTAACGCGTGAGTGAATAGTGGTGTCTGTTGCGTGGCTCAAACGAAATAAAAAATGGCACATGTTTATGCGGATCGGTTTCCCAACGAGTGCAACCAACCCCTCGTGCCTTTGTTAATGTAGTACAACGGGCTCGTAAATCAGGTGACTTAAGACCTCACAGGGGACGGCATGCCAGTGCTCCAAGACCTCACGATCAAATACAGGTCCGCACTGAAATACTTGTCGGGAGGATACTTTATAAAACAAGGTAATTTTTTTTTATTTTTACACACATATTTTGGTTTATCTTCCTTCTACAATCATTATCTGAAAATTAATGACTCAACTTCAAAGTTACCCTATATAAAGGTTGCATAATAAGAGAATTAGTTTACATTATCAAATTAAGTGGATACCGTTTTTACAAAAACTGTTCAAAACTGTCCGCATGTGTTCGATTAACGCAAAATATTGCTCCGCGAATCCACGACTCTTTACAAACTTCGAAAACAAAATCCCGGTGTCCACAAATTAAATCACAAGCATTTTCAGTGCGCTGTTGAAGTTCTTCCAGAGTATTTACTGCGCTCCATTATGAAACACCAAGACTTTCAAATAGCCCCACAAAAAAAAATCGCTAGTGGTTAAATCCGGCGAGTGAGGTGCTATGGTTCTAGTACTCATTGTTGGGTCGTCCTCGACCATTTCTTAAATGTCTTCCTCAATTTGTAACATTTTGAGGTTGAGCAGGTCTTAAATATCCTGTGTCGCGAAGTCTAATAACTAAATTTACAAACATCCGTGGAACCAGATGATTTCTTAAAGGAATAACAATCGTATTTTTTTTTTAAATTTTTGACGAGTCCTACAGGCAGTTAAAATCAATGACTCAAGTTTGAAAAGACCCTGTGTTCTAGTAGTAAGTGGATACTGTCGTATCACAGAGGTAACTTGTCAGTGACAATGCCATGCCTAGATGTTTTTGGAAACCCTGAGTGCATGTAAACAGTTGTAACGGGCTACATCAGCCCTTTCTGCCAGTCAGTCAGATTTTATATTACATTCAAATTAATTATACTGGTTGACAAG